ATCCTCGCCGTCCGTCTCGGACTTGTCACCGTCGGCATCTTCAGTCATGTGGATGTCACCATTGCCTCCTTCAAGGAAGAGATTGTCATGAGCATCCAGATCCTTGATGGACGAGTAGGCATCGCGTGGGGCTCCGTATTCGCTGCCGCTCATGCATCCGTCTGGCACATCTTCCACCAAACCAATCATCTTCATCTTTCTCCGGTCTGCGGACCCACTAGTCCTCTCCAAGAGTTGAACATGCGCACTGACGAACAAAGGGAGAAACTTAGAAAGAAACAAAAGTATGCTAGAAAAATGTCGAAGGCATGTCTTCAACTGGCTGAGGAACAGCCTATGAGGGGAGGACATATGACATGGGAGTGGCCGAGAAGAAACAAGGCATGGAAATACAAGGAGGTACAAAGGTTTTTCTACAATTTGGAGAGACAAGGAAAGGTGTTTGAGGCCTGTTTGGATGGATGCCAAGTAGGAGTAGTTGCGCCGGACAATGGACTGCCGATGAGGAAACCATGGACAATCATGTCAACCGATCCACATTTGGCTCATTGTTTGGATTTGAGATGCGACGGAGGACACCCACCAGTCGCACTTCCTGACAACTGTCGCACTTGTGTTCTAACGCAGGTTGAACAACATGTTTAGGCACGCCTCTCGCTCTCAAACAGTTTGCTAACGCGGTGTTTGTGGGATGTCCTGACCGAACATGAAGTTTGGTGATTGCTGCCTTGATTCCTTTCAGTTCTTCCATCGAGATTGTTTCGTTTCTTGGCTCCTCTCCTGCCTCCTGCAATCCTTCAACTCCTGTTGTTTTCCTAGCCTCCTGCCTCTCCTTCTCATTTTCGTTCGTTTCTACTGCTGGTGTGTTGGTGTGGATATCCCCTTGAGTCAAGTATGAAGTGGCTTGTGCGCTCAAGATGTGTCTACTGATGATTTTACACATACGCGGCGGATACAAAGCGGATGAAACAGCGCGACCATGTCCCACGGACTCACCCACACCACATGCTAAGGTAAGTATGCACAAAAGCAACACACTGTGGGAAGTTTTACAGTTGGATATAGTCAATTTCATGTTGGAAACACTGTGATTCATTTTCTCATGTCGCTTGATGAGGCATCTCATTTTGCCTCGGCCTGCGAGTTTTTTTTCCGTCATAGTGCTGATGAATCTAGAAATGCCACTACCTCCGAAATCATTCTTGCACTGGAAACACACTGGGTACCACATCATGGTTTGCCAGGAGTTATACGGACGGACCCGGAAGGGAGTTTTAGGGGCTATAACTTGAATTTGTGGGCACAGGAAAGAGGGGTGGAGTTAGTTCACACCCCTGGCGAAGATCATGGACAAACAGGAGATGTGGAAGCCATGATAGGAAAAATCAAGACTGACACGAGGACATATCTTCGTGACTGGGACATGGACCCATTTCTTGGTTTGTTGCACATGATACATGCTCACAACACACGTGACAGAGTTGGGGGATATGCTCCATGTCAATGGGCATGCGGCAGGTTTCCAACTTTCGATGGTCGTCTGTTTGACTCAGGGCTCAATGTGCCTTACCACTGCAGTGAAGGTGTGAAAAATTCAGAAATGCAGAAGAATTTGCAGGTCAGAGTGCGTGCTGAGGAAATCTATCGTAAGTCTAGTGCTACCTCACGGATTAATAGAGCCATGAATAGCAAACCGACCAAAACGGTAGTTTACTTGCCAGGAGACATGGTCTATTATCGTAGGTACAAGACACCTTCTCAGCTTCCCTCACATAAGGATTTGGATGTTCCTAAGGTAGGTCTAGCCAGATGGTATGGTCCCGCAAGAGTTCAAGCGACCGAGACAAAGTCCGAAGAGGTGATGTGCATTCTGCGGCCAGGTCATGTGGTTTGGATCGTGGCTGGTGGACGTTTGAAGCGATGTAGTCCGCATCAATTACGCCCTGCCAGTGAAAGGGAACGCTTGCTATCAGAAACAAGTGAAGCTGTGACGGTGCCGTGGTCTTTTTCTGGTGTTTTGTCACAGGCTGAAAGAGGCCAATTTGACACTTTTGACGACTTGGCTTTCAATGAAAGACATCTTCGGCAGAAGCCAGAGGAAGCCAGTTTTGCGCCTAGAACACCGAGAGTTGCTAGGAGCAGAAGTATGGCACGATCAGTGCCACCGCCTGATGTGCACGTACAGAGCGATTAGCGATTTGTTAGAATCCAATGTACAGAGTCTCACTGCACCGTATAAGGAACCCCAAGATGTTCCAAAGCACCTCAAAAGGGCGTTGTCAAGTGAAAGGCCCGTAAGACCGCAACAAGAGGCCGAAGAGAGGCCCGAACATCAAAACACTCATGGGAGAGCGGCACGCCCAGAACTAGTACGAGTAAGAGGGCGCCCGAGAAAAGAATAAGTAGTTTAGATGCTCAAAGACTTCGCGATAGTGCCACTTCTTCCTCCACTCCTCCTGTCTCATCATCCGCGCACCGGCCAGCTTCTGCGGCCCCCAGGGAACTGCGACTGCGCCGTGCAAGCCATGGAAGGGGTGAGTTGTATAAGCACACTCACTGTGAATCCCGACACAGCCATGGACAAGACACTGGCTGAACTGTTACATGCGGAAACGCAAGATGAGGTGGAGTCTCAGCCAGAAGACTCATGTACGGACAATGCAGCATGCATTTTTGAACTGGAGTTGCCAGAATCGCCAAAGGAAATGCGGAAGATGCAGAAAGATCCAGCCAAATGGACAGTAGACAAGATCAAACATGGATGTGAAGTGCGAATAGAGGATCTGTCCAATGAGGAGGTGGAGAAGTTCAAAGAGGCAAAGAATGTAGAAGTGCAAAACTGGATTAGAGACCAGGCATGTAGAGCAGCAACAGGGCATATTCCGAAAGGAAGAGTCATGAAAATGAGGTGGATTTTGACATGCAAAGACACGGGACAACCAAAAGGTCGGATCGTGGTCCTGGGCTACCAGGATCCTGATCTGGAGCATTTGACGAGGTCAAGCCCAACAATGACAAGACGGACTCGACAACTCCTGCTCACACATGCAGCAGTTCGGCGATGGTCCGCTCTCAAGGGCGATGTCAAGGGGGAGCGTTTCTGCAAGGACAGAGATCTGAAGAAAAGAGAAAGGTGTATGCGTGGCCTGTGGAGGAGCTAGCTGAAGCCCTCAACATGCCAAGGGGCCAACCAGCGCAACTGTTGAAAGCATGTTATGGCTTGTCAATGCCCCAGCGGAATGGTTCAACTCCGTGTGTTTGGCCATGAACGAGGCAGGATTCACCCAATTGGTCACAGAACCCTGCATGTGGAGAGTCATGGAATGGTCTGAGGAAACTCAGTCCTGGGAAGTGGTTGGTCTATGTGCAGCACACATGGGCGATTTCATCTTCGCAGGAGATGATAGAAGCGCAACATGGCGCCGGGCAGTCTCTCAAATCTATGACTGTTTTCTTTGGCCACCCTGGGAAGTAGACAGCTTCACCCATTGTGGAGTGAGAACCACACAGATGGACAAGGGAGGGTTTGTTTATTTTAGACCATTCGGAATTCTGCAGTAGCTTGCAACAAATTCCAGTGGATGCAAAGCGACAAGATGAAGAACTTAAGCTACTGAAGAAGAGAAAACGCAGTTGAGAGGCCTCTTAGGAGGAGCCCAATGGCGTGCATACCAGACTGGATCACAGCATTCGGCCCGACTTGGTTTGCTCCAATCGGAGATGAGCCATCCAACGGTCAAGACTTTGAGATCAGCCAACAAACTATGCCGAGGAATGTGCCAGCATCGACAGACTTCAGTCAAGGTCCAGAACTTAGAGGTCAACCATCCTGCAGACATACACTTTGTGGCATGGACAGATGCGGCCCTAGGAAATGGACCAAATGGTGGAAGCACTGGAGGTTACATCATAGCAGCTACTAGTGGACAAATGTTGGAAGGAAAAGCCTCAAGACTGAATTTCGTGTCATGGAAGTCGGGTAGATGACATCGCATAGCGAGAAGTAGTCTAGCAGCAGAAGTACAAGCCTTCTCTGAAGAAGAAGAAGAATTCATGTTTGTTAGACTCCAGTGGTCAGACATGATCTTGGACATGAATATCCAATGATGAGCCCACAGGAATCTGTGATCAAGGTTCCGGGCACGCTGGTGGCAGATGCCCGATCACTTTACGACATAGTCATCAAGGGCGACATGAACTCCAGCGGTCTCGGGTTGAGAGACAAGTACTCGGCCCTAGAAGTTCTCAGTATTCTGCAGCGTTTAAAGATGAGAGATGCCACCGTGCTGTGGGGGGGTGCATAGTAATGCACAGTTAGCAGATGCTTTAACGAAACCAATGGCAACAAGCTCTTTGATGAAAGCTTTAGCTGAGGGTGCATGGATTTTGGCCGAAGACCCAACATTTACGAGCGCAAAGCGTCTCAAAGCCCAAGAAAGACAAACATGGTCTTACGGCTAAAGACTTTGTGGCATGTCACGAGTTACAGCCTTATATAGCTTGTATAGTGTCTAGCCTCCAGTACCATGTTGTGTCTCTGCACAGCTTTTTCTGAACTGCCAGGTTGTGTGACTCCGCATCCATATGGATCGATAACACATCAGGACGTTCCTTTTGCCTAATTGCCAAGCAATGGCTTGCACATTTGCTACGTGAGAGCTGTGGAGAAAAGTATCTCCGCGTTGTGGTGCCGTTGCGTGGTGCCATTTGATCTTTGACAGTCAATCGTGACTGTACTAGCCTTGTGAGAAGGCTGTGGTTCCTTAGCAGCAGCTTAGGCTTGTCGCTATCCGAGCCACCACCCCTATCAACACTTTGGGGTTCAGCTTGCAATATCTTGCAATATAGCATCCCCCGCGAGGATGTGTGAGGGTTTCTTTGAAATTGTGTTTTGGAGTTGTGCGGGGGTGTGTCTAGACTGAAGCATTGGAGACGCACCACAAAATATGTACAGGTGTTCAATGGTTTTCCATGGTTTTCCACTCGTTGCACGGTGCAAGGATTTGGCTGCTCTGTTTGCCCGGACCTCTGCAGAATGTACACCACATGCAAGTCACATAAGTCATAAGTCACATATATTTTGACTTCACTTCCGGAGCAACTGAGGCACAAGTAGACCGAGATGGCTCTGGAATGATCAACGTTCAGGAGATGGCTCCACTGTATCCTCCACTCCATTTAGTTGGACCACGGCCTTTAGACGGCCGTGGTGTTTTGTTGGGGTGGGGTGAGGCATGTATTAACATTCATGTGAACTTGCACATGAAGTAGATGCTACGCTGTAGCTGTCGGTTGGGGCATGTAGCTGTCGGTTGGGGCATGTATTCATGGGTGGGGGGTGGGGGGTGGGGTGGGGTGGGATAATAACGTCATTGGCTCTCTCACACATACGTGATGCTACGCTACTGTACGTTCTCTTGGACTTCCACGCATACGTCATGCTACGCTATGTGCTCTTGGACTTCCACGCATGCGTTATCTTTTGTTCTGAATGAAGTGGGCGTTGCGTTCATTCATACCTCCATGATGATCAAGAAGATGAAAGAGTTGATTTTGATGATGGTGATGGTCATGATGATGGTGATGATGGTGATGATGGTGATGATGATGAAGTAGATGATGAGGGCTGAAGAATTGTGAAAACTAATGCGTTGGGGGCTTTGAAGAAAACCCGAAAATGGAGGTTTCGTGTAGGCGAAATGACTGTTTTCCCTCTGATTGGAACTAAGGTGTTGACGGCCTTTACACTAAAATCACACGAATTCCTATTGGCACGAGCACATCAAACATGATCAACAAACCCAAGAATCAAAAAAACACACGGCCATCTAAAGGCCGTACTCCTAGTTTCCTGCAGTGTCCTACAGTTTTTCATTGCAGTTGAAGACGTTGAAGAGGGAGGCTTTAGATGTGTCAGAGAAGATGAATCAGATGCCATCCTTGCCTCAAACGTAGGAGTTTTTGGCCGCTGCTATGGATCAAAGCCGGAGCAGCGGGCTGCCTATCGTTTGGGAAGTGAAGCAGCGAAGCAGAAATTGTTGGCATTGCTGTCAGACATCCCTTAAACAATTGTTAAAGTCGCCAGTTGGGGCAGGCATTCAGTGCCTTCGACAAGATTGTGGTGGCACCATCAGCAACGATGAGACTCAGCTTGAGATTGGTGTTTCAACATTTTCAGCATTTTCAACTCAAGTGGATGGACTTTTGTCAGGCTGACACGCTGACACCTACCGAGCATCACCAAGCAAAATATGTAGGACATGGACGATGAGTCGACCAGGGTCGTGAAGGAGTTGGAAGGGCAGCTGGTCTCAATGGAAGTGGCTTTAGCCTTGGAGATCCGATCAGACAAGGACGTAGATCGAAACATGTTGGGAGTCGCAAATTGAATCAAATTGAATCAAATTGATCGAACATGAACTGGACATAAACTAATTTCGATAGCAGTGAGGCGAGGATAAAACAACAACAACAACGACGACGACGACGACCACAACCACAACCACAACCACAACCACAGCCACAGCCACAACCACAACGACAACCACAACCACCACCACCACCACCAACACCACCAACACCACCAACACCACCAACACCACCAACACCACCAACACCACCAACACCCAACCACCACCAACACCACCAACACCACCAACACCACCAACACCACCAACACCACCAACACCACCAACACCACCAACACCACCAACACCACCAACAACAACAAAACAACAACAACAACAACAATTATGAAAAACTTGCAGCCACAGACTGGGCCAGGTCAAAATAGTTTTTTCATTTTTTTATCATTTTGGTTATCATTGCATTCATCATTCTTCATTTTTTTTATCATTTCAGGTATAATTTTTTTAATCATTTTTTAAATTATTTTTTCATCATTTTTTATCATTTTTTTATCATGTTTTTAAAATCTTTTTTCATTATTTTTGCTTCCAATGGTGCAAAAATTATGTCAAAAAAACGAGAATTTGCAATTTTCCTCGAGTTTTTTTTTATTTTATTAAATTTTTTATCATTGTTTTTATCATGTTTCATCATTTTTGCTTCCAGTGGTGCAAAAATTTTCAAAAAATGGAAAATTGCATTTTTCTTCGAGTTTTTATCATGTTTTTATTATTTTTTTCATTTTTTGATCATATTTTTTCATTTTTCATCATTTTTGCTTCCAGTGGTGCAAAAATTATGCAAAAAATGAAAAATTACAATTTTCCTCGAGTTTTTTTATTTTTTTCATTTTTTTATCATTTTTTTATTTTTTTATCATTTTTTTTTTTTTAATCATCATTTTGTTTCCAGTGGTGTAAAAATTTTCCAAAAAATGGAAAATTGCAATTTTCCTCGTTTTTTCATGTTTTCATTATTTTTTCATTTTTTTAATCATTTTTTTATATTTTTTAATCATTTTTTTATCATTTTTTTATCATTTTTCATCATTTTTGCTTCCAGTGATGCAAAAATTTTTCAAAAAATGGAAAATTACAATTTTCCTCGAGTTTTTTTATTTCTTTTATCATTTTTTTTTTATTTTTTATCATTTTTCATCATTTTTGCATCGAGGAAAATTGCAATTTTCCATTTTTTGGAAAATTTTTGCACCACTGGAAGCAAAAATGATAAAACCGTGATAAAAAAAATGAAAAAATGATAAAAAAATGAAAAAAACTCGAGGAAAATTGCAATTTTCAATTTTTTGGATTTTTTTTGCACCACTGGAAGCAAGAATGATGAAACATGATAAAACCATGATAAAAACATGAAAGCAAAAAAAATGATAAAAACTCGAGGAAAATTGCAATTTTCCATTTTTTGGAAAATTTTTGCACCACTGGAAGCAAAAATGATGAAAAATGATAAAAAAATGATAAAATAATGATAAAAAATGAAAAACATGATAATAAAATTAAAAAAACCCGAGGAAAATTGCAATTTTCCATTTTTTGGATTTTTTTTTTGCACCACTGGAAGCAAAAATAATGAAACATGATAAAAACAATAATAAAAAAATGATAAAAAAATGAAAAACATGATAAAAAAATGATAAAAAATAATAAAAACTCGAGGAAAATTGCAATTTTCCATTTTTTGGAAAATTTTGCACCACTGGAAGCAAGAATGATAAAAAATGATAAAAAAATGATAAACAATGATCAACAAATTATAAAAAAATGAAAAACAATGATAAATAAATGAAAAAACTCGAGGAACATTGCAATTTTCAATTTTTTGGAAAATTTTTGCACCACTGGAAGCAAAAATGATGAAACATGATAAAACAATGTTAAAAAAATGATTAAAAAAATGAAAAATGATAAAAACATGAAAAAAACCCGAGGAAAATTGCAATTTTCCATTTTTCGAAAATTTTTGCACCACTGGAAGCAAAAATGATGAAACATGAAAAAAAAATATAAAAACATGATTAAAAAAATGATAAAAAAGAAAAAAAATCGAGGAAAATTGCAAATTTTCGTTTTTTTGACATAATTTTTGCACCATTGGAAGCAAAAATGATGAAAAATGATAAAAAACATGATAAAACAATGTTAAAAAAATGATGAAAAAATGAAAAAACTCGAGGAAAAGTGCAATTTTCCATTTTTTGTTTTTTTTTGCACCACTGGAAGCAAAAATGATGAAACATGATAAAAAAAATGATAAAAAAATGAAAACATGATAAAAACATGATAAAAACATGATAAACAATGATAAAAAATGATAAAAAATGATAAAACAATGATACCTGAAATGATAAAAAATATGAAGATGATAAAATAAATGAGAAAATGATGAATGCAATGATAACCAAGATGATAAAAACACGAAAAAACTATTTTAAAGATTTCCAATGTGTAGCTGGCTCGGTTCTTCATAAAACAAGAACAACAACAGCAACAACAGCAGCAACAACAACAACAACAACAATACAACAACAATACAACAACACCAGCAACAACACCAGCAACAACACCAGCAACAACAACAACAACAACAACAACAACAACAATGCATCTTTTATAATAACACACGCCAGAGAAGGAATGTCAACATGATACCAGATTGAACTTAAAGACCCTTCAGCTTTTTGGCCCCAAACCATCCAGCAACTTGTCCGAAACGCTTTCGGGAAGTCAGAGAAGCCATGGGACAAGACTCCGTGGACCGAGATAGCGTTTTCTCCAACTACAAGTCTGTCTTCTCCAGGCAATTTGCGGTGTCTTTGGCCGTGGAGTTCATTGGGGTGATGTTCTTCCAGATTTTGGGTGCAACTGCCAAGAAAGGAATGGAGCCATGGGTCAACGCGCTGGCGTTGGCTGTCTGGATTTACACAGCTGCCAACATCTCTGGTGGGCATTTGAACCCAGCAGTGACTCTTAGCATGGCCATTTGTGGTTTCTTTCCAGTGGTGCACTCAGTTGTGTATGTGATCCTGCAGATTGTTGGTGCTATTTTGGGCGCGGTGATCACAGCCTTTTTGGTGCCTGGTGCATCGTTGCAGATGGGCGATGGAGGTCCAGGATGCTTTGATAGAACCATCATCCCAGAAGGCATTAGCGACAGGCAGGTCATGTGGTGGGAATGCATCATGACTTTCACTTTGATCTCTTGCGTCTATGCCTGTGGTGTGGCAAAGCCTGGTCATGGCAGCCACACGCCACTGGTGGTTGGCTTTGCCCTGTTTTGTTGTGCTGGCTCTGGTGGTCAGTACACCGGCGGTGCATTGAACCCTGCCCGTGTCTTGGGCCCTTTGGCGGCCTTTGGTTGCGGAGATGACATTGTCGGGAAGTACCTTGGTGGAGAGTGCTTGGCCGCGCTGTTTGCCATGTCTGTCTTTGCCTTTGTTTCAGGCTTGGGACCTTTGAACCCTTGGATGGCCAGAAGTGCCTTGGATTTGTCCTTTCCAGAAGCTTGCTACTTATGGATCACTGGATCCCCACCTGCGCGCTTGCAGAAGACTGGCAGGGAGAACATCCATGATTTCATGGCGAAGTTCCAAAAGTTCCACTCTGAAACCGATGAGGAAGATGCCGCTGAAGCCAAGGAAGAGAGCAGTTTCTTGGAGCGATTCTTTGGAGTCAAGCGCCGTCAGGCAAAAGCGGCCGTGTCTGACTCTGAGGCCCTTGCCTGAGTGATCCTGAGTTGCTGGCTAAAGTTTTGAGCACGGCTGGCCAAGTGTTGGCAAATTTGTGGCAAAGACCTTTCAAATCCCAGACAAGCGACAGACGTGTACTGTATAACAACATTTTGATTTTGGGAAATGAGGGATTTGAACAAGTCCGACTGCTAGACATTGACAAGAGCTTTGGCAACCGTGCATTTCTTTTGTCCCAGAAGCCCAATAGAGGCTCTTAAATTACCTGAGTTTGTGTCAAACCCGTGTGCATTCTGCTGTCTAGGCCTCAAATGAAGACCAAATTCGACCAAAAGTTCGATCAAAGTATCCGCAGTTTTTTTTTGCTAGTTGCAGTTACAAAATCTGCATTGGCAGCAGATCGCCAAAGATCACCAAACACTTGCGGTAGCAGCAAAAAGTCAAGCACCTTGCTTGCCGGTGTAAGTCTGATTCAGGACAGGACAGGACATCCATCCAAAATCCACGAAAATCCAAAAAGTAAGGTTTCGGCCGAACACCTCGATTTGCCCGCGTGTGTCGGTGGCCATCTTCGTATGTGCTGAAAACGTGGTAAAAATGGGAGTTTTTTTTTGCATCATGGCTTACTTCATGTTGTATATCGGCACGCGTAGCATAGGGACCTGTTCGAGTCTCTTACACATCATCATCATCATCATCATCATCATCATCAGAATCATCATCAGAATCATCATCATAATCATCATCAAACCGTTATTGCAGATCTTCAATGAATGTAGAAGTTTAACGGGGGTGGGAGAATTAAACCCTTATTGAAATCTTCAATGAATGTAGAAGTTTAACGGGGGTGGGAGAATTAAACCCTTATTGAAATCTTCAATGGATGTAGAAGTTTAACGGGGGTGGGAGAGTTAAACCCCTTATTGAAACCTTCAATGAATGTAGAAGTTTAACGGGGGTGGGAGAATTGAACCCTTATTGAAGATCTTCAATGAATGTAGAAGTTTAACTGGGGTGGGAGAATTGAACCCTTATTGAAGATCTTCAATGAATGTAGAAGTTTAACGGGGGTGGGAGAATTAAACCCTCATCGAAGATCTTCAATGAATGTAGAAGTTTAACGGGGGTGGGAGATTTAAACCCTTATTGAAGATCTTCAATGAATGTAGAAGTTTAACGGGGGTGGGAAATTTATATTCCCTAAATACCCTTGTTGATCTTCCCAATTGAATGTAAAGTGTAGCGTTTGTTATCCCCAAGTGTACAGCATCAAAGGGGTGTGGGCGAATCAGGGTGTTTGCGCGTACGGTTTAGATTCGAACAGGCTGAGTACGCTTGCGCTCTGGCTATGATTGCAAGGCTTAGACTTACGAATCTTACGACTTTCCAGCTTTTTGGCCCCAAACCATCCAGCAACTTGTCCGAAACGCTTTGGGGAAGTCAGAGAAGCCATGGGACAAGACTCCGTGGACCGAGATAGCGTTTTCTCCAACTACAAGTCTGTCTTCTCCAGGCAATTTGCAGTGTCTTTGGCCGTGGAGTTCATTGGGGTGATGTTCTTCCAGATTTTGGGTGCAACTGCCAAGAAAGGAATGGAGCCATGGGTCAACGCGTTGGCCTTGGCTGTCTGGATTTACACAGCTGCCAACATCTCTGGTGGGCATTTGAACCCAGCAGTGACTCTTAGCATGGCCTTTTGTGGCTTCTTTCCAGTGGTGCACTCAGTTGTGTATGTGATCCTGCAGATTGTTGGTGCTATTTTGGGCGCGGTGATCACAGCCTTTTTGGTGCCTGGTGCATCGTTGCAGATGGGCGATGGAGGTCCAGGATGCTTTGATAGAACCATCATCCCAGAAGGCATTAGCGACAGGCAGGTCATGTGGTGGGAATGCATCATGACTTTCACTTTGATCTCTTGCGTCTATGCCTGTGGTGTGGCAAAGCCTGGTCATGGCAGCCACACGCCACTGGTGGTTGGCTTTGCCCTGTTTTGTTGTGCTGGCTCTGGTGGTCAGTACACCGGCGGTGCATTGAACCCTGCCCGTGTCTTGGGCCCTTTGGCGGCCTTTGGTTGCGGAGATGGCATTGTCAGGAAGTACCTTGCTGGAGAGTGCTTGGCCGCGCTGTTTGCCATGTCTGTCTTTGCCTTTGTTTCAGGCTTGGGACCTTTGAACCCTTGGATGGCCAGAAGAGCTTTGAATTTGTCCATTCCAGAATCTTACTACTTGTGGATCACTGGATCCCCACCTGCGCGCTTGCAGAAGACTGGTAGGGAGAACATCAACGATTTCATGACGAAGTTCCAAAAGTTCCACTCTGAAGCCGATGAGGAAGATGCCGCTGAAGCCAAGGAAGAGAGCAGTTTCTTGGAGCGATTCTTTGGAGTCAAGCGCCGTCAGGCAAAAGCGGCCGTGTCTGACTCTGAGGCCCTTGCCTGAGTGATCCTGAGTTGCTGGCTAAAGTTTTGAGCACGGCTGGACAAGTGTTGGCCAACTTTCAAAGAAAAGTCATTTTATCCCTGAAACTTGGAAAACACAGAACAGAAGGATCAATCTACCTAGTGATTCGAAACATTGTAACTGTCGGACATCGAGGAAACACCTTGGCCGCTGTGCGCATTTAGTTCTAGATGCCCAACAGAGGCGTATATTGAATTTGTTGAATGTTTAAGTGTGGAATGCGCGTGTCTTTTGCCATCTTGGTCTCTAATGAAGGCCAAATTCAATGAAAGGTATCCACAGGCCTTTTTCTATCTTTTTCCTGCCAGTGCAGCTACCTATCTGCCTTGGCACCAGATCACAATAGACCACCAAGCACTTGCGGTAGCAGCAAAAAGTCTGATTCAGGACAGAACAGGACATCCATCCAAAATTCACGAAAATCCCAAAAGTTAAGTTTAGATTCGAACAGGCTGAGTACGCTTGCGCTCTGGCCATGATTGCAAGGCTTAGACTTACGAATCTTACGACTTTCCAGCTTTTTGGCCCCAAACCATCCAGCAACTTGTCCGAAACGCTTTGGGGAAGTCAGAGAAGCCATGGGACAAGACTCCGTGGACCGAGATAGCGTTTTCTCCAACTACAAGTCTGTCTTCTCCAGGCAATTTGCAGTGTCTTTGGCCGTGGAGTTCATTGGGGTGATGTTCTTCCAGATTTTGGGTGCAACTGCCAAGAAAGGAATGGAGCCATGGGTCAACGCGTTGGCCTTGGCTGTCTGGATTTACACAGCTGCCAACATCTCTGGTGGGCATTTGAACCCAGCAGTGACTCTTAGCATGGCCTTTTGTGGCTTCTTTCCAGTGGTGCACTCAGTTGTGTATGTGATCCTGCAGATTGTTGGTGCTATTTTGGGCGCGGTGATCACAGCCTTTTTGGTGCCTGGTGCATCGTTGCAGATGGGCGATGGAGGTCCAGGATGCTTTGATAGAACCATCATCCCAGAAGGCATTAGCGACAGGCAGGTCATGTGGTGGGAATGCATCATGACTTTCACTTTGATCTCTTGCGTCTATGCCTGTGGTGTGGCAAAGCCTGGTCATGGCAGCCACACGCCACTGGTGGTTGGCTTTGCCCTGTTTTGTTGTGCTGGCTCTGGTGGTCAGTACACCGGCGGTGCATTGAACCCTGCCCGTGTCTTGGGCCCTTTGGCGGCCTTTGGTTGCGGAGATGGCATTGTCAGGAAGTACCTTGCTGGAGAGTGCTTGGCCGCGCTGTTTGCCATGTCTGTCTTTGCCTTTGTTTCAGGCTTGGGACCTTTGAACCCTTGGATGGCCAGAAGAGCTTTGAATTTGTCCATTCCAGAATCTTACTACTTGTGGATCACTGGATCCCCACCTGCGCGCTTGCAGAAGACTGGTAGGGAGAACATCAACGATTTCATGACGAAGTTCCAAAAGTTCCACTCTGAAGCCGATGAGGAAGATGCCGCTGAAGCCAAGGAAGAGAGCAGTTTCTTGGAGCGATTCTTTGGAGTCAAGCGCCGTCAGGCAAAAGCGGCCGTGTCTGACTCTGAGGCCCTTGCCTGAGTGATCCTGAGTTGCTGGCTAAAGTTTTGAGCACGGCTGGACAAGTGTTGGCCAACTTTCAAAGAAAAGTCATTTTATCCCTGAAACTTGGAAAACACAGAACAGAAGGATCAATCTACCTAGTGATTCGAAACATTGTAACTGTCGGACATCGAGGAAACACCTTGGCCGCTGTGCGCATTTAGTTCTAGATGCCCAACAGAGGCGTATATTGAATTTGTTGAATGTTTAAGTGTGGAATGCGCGTGTCTTTTGCCATCTTGGTCTCTAATGAAGGCCAAATTCAATGAAAGGTATCCACAGGCCTTTTTCTATCTTTTTCCTGCCAGTGCAGCTACCTATCTGCCTTGGCACCAGATCACAATAGACCACCAAGCACTTGCGGTAGCAGCAAAAAGTCTGATTCAGGACAGAACAGGACATCCATCCAAAATTCACGAAAATCCCAAAAGTTAAGTTTAGATTCGAACAGGCTGAGTACGCTTGCGCTCTGGCCATGATTGCAAGGCTTAGACTTACGAATCTTACGACTTTCCAGCTTTTTGGCCCCAAACCATCCAGCAACTTGTCCGAAACGCTTTGGGGAAGTCAGAGAAGCCATGGGACAAGACTCCGTGGACCGAGATAGCGTTTTCTCCAACTACAAGTCTGTCTTCTCCAGGCAATTTGCAGTGTCTTTGGCCGTGGAGTTCATTGGGGTGATGTTCTTCCAGATTTTGGGTGCAACTGCCAAGAAAGGAATGGAGCCATGGGTCAACGCGTTGGCCTTGGCTGTCTGGATTTACACAGCTGCCAACATCTCTGGTGGGCATTTGAACCCAGCAGTGACTCTTAGCATGGCCTTTTGTGGCTTCTTTCCAGTGGTGCACTCAGTTGTGTATGTGATCCTGCAGATTGTTGGTGCTATTTTGGGCGCGGTGATCACAGCCTTTTTGGTGCCTGGTGCATCGTTGCAGATGGGCGATGGAGGTCCAGGATGCTTTGATAGAACCATCATCCCAGAAGGCATTAGCGACAGGCAGGTCATGTGGTGGGAATGCATCATGACTTTCACTTTGATCTCTTGCGTCTATGCCTGTGGTGTGGCAAAGCCTGGTCATGGCAGCCACACGCCACTGGTGGTTGGCTTTGCCCTGTTTTGTTGTGCTGGCTCTGGTGGTCAGTACACCGGCGGTGCATTGAACCCTGCCCGTGTCTTGGGCCCTTTGGCGGCCTTTGGTTGCGGAGATGGCATTGTCAGGAAGTACCTTGCTGGAGAGTGCTTGGCCGCGCTGTTTGCCATGTCTGTCTTTGCCTTTGTTTCAGGCTTGGGACCTTTGAACCCTTGGATGGCCAGAAGAGCTTTGAATTTGTCCATTCCAGAATCTTACTACTTGTGGATCACTGGATCCCCACCTGCGCGCTTGCAGAAGACTGGTAGGGAGAACATCAACGATTTCATGACAAAGTTCCAAAAGTTCCACTCTGAAGCCGATGAGGAAGATGCCGCTGAAGCCAAGGAAGAGAGCAGTTTCTTGGAGCGATTCTTTGGAGTCAAGCGCCGTCAGGCAAAAGCGGCCGTGTCTGACTCTGAGGCCCTTGCCTGAGGGATCCTGAGTTGCTGGCTAAAGTTTTGAGCACGGCTGGACAAGTGTTGGCCAACTTTCAAAGAAAAGTCATTTTATCCCTGAAACTTGGAAAACACAGAACAGAAGGATCAATCTACCTAGTGATTCGAAGCATTGTAACTGCCGGACATCGAGGAAACACCTTGGCCGCTGTGCGCATTTAGTTCTAGATGCCAAACAATGGCATTATGTTATGCGGCATTGTGCGGCATTATTTCTGCAGTCGCTAAGCACTGTGCATTTCTCTCTTGGCCTCGGAAGGCATAATTCGATGAGAAGGATCCGCAAGCGATGCTTCTTTTGCGAGCGCAGTTCTCTGCGCTCGCACCAGATTATTGCTCGCAAAACGTCTGTGAGAGACATACCTTGGAAGTTTGTGGATCATGAACGGCACCATCCACAGGAACAAGTAATTTGTAAATCCATGTAAATCTCAACAAGACATCATAAATGACGCATTCAAAACGTGTCAAAATTAGTGGATTGGTTTAAGTGAAAATTGACAGGACACCTCCATATTTCACAGGACAAACCATTGGGTTTTGGTTGATATTCCTCAAACTTAAACCAATCCAATGACAAGTTTCTGTTTGAGGCTGAAAGCTGCGAACTGGCCATTCAGCGAGAATTGGAACAGACAGGCCAAATTTTTAGGGTATTAGCGGTATTCTACTACATAATATATTGTGGAGCAATCCATGAACGGGGAATCCCGCTTGATACTTTTTGAATCTTTTTGACACTTTTCGAATCGTTTTGAAGTTTTTGACATATTATTTTGACACTACAGCAGTGCGCGCAGGCACATGAAGCGCCATGGGTTGCCCATGATCGAAATAGCTGTGGCCAGGCAATTCAGATGACCTGGACTTCGAGCAGTGCATCAGCTGCAGACCAGTGGCACACAGCTGCGTCATGATGAACCAAAATAAATATACATATATTAATATATATACGTATATATATATATACACGATATATATATATATATAATTATATATATATAATTATATATATAATATATAAATCAGATACGGGGTACGGGCAGTTATTGACTGACTGGAACCATTGGGAACCACCTGCACAGAAGTCTGCACAAGTCTGCACAAGTTTGCACAAGCCTGGACAGGAAATGTCTTGCCCTTGCAAGAAACAGTTGATAAGCATGATGATGTTGGGGTTTGATGTCTGATTGCCCAAACTGTCGCCCATACTCAAGTTCGTATCAACATTTGTCCAAGCTGCAGATTTTGCCACCTGCAGACCGAAGTGACTTGCGCCTGTTGGGGCATTGGGGTGGATTGCTACCAGGCGAGCCAGACATGGAATCCGATTGCTAGCCCAACATATCAAAACCCCAAGCACTTTGTGTGAGTGTGACACTCAAGATTCAAAGAGACAAAACAATGCTCTGTCCAGAAGAGCACCAGATGTGATATTTCCGCAAATGCGCCACTCCTTGCGATGCCGTTGGATGCCGTTGGATGCCCTTGTTCATCCCGTTTTTGGATGGTTGTTTCTCCTGCAGGTGCGACACCGCGAGCCAGAAAGGCTGGCAAAACATGAAACAATGGCTGATGGAACGTTTTTTTTCCATACTCAGTGTCACTCAGAAACGGACATCCTGTGGTACTCGAGGAGTTTGTGTTTTCTCTGGCCTTAGAGATTTCCTAACTTGAACTCAAAGAATCCCTACAACTCTGGGCTACAGTACTGGTAGTTTGTTTCTCAGGTGGGACATCACCAAGGAGAAGTCCAAAGCCAACCGTGACTCTGATGCAAAAAGCAACTTAGGATCAAATACCATCAGAAAACAATTCATTTGCAGGCGACGGCGGGATTTTCTTGGCGCCTGAGGCTCGGTGTATCGCTGCCGACCGGGGAAGAACAAAGGAAAAGACGAGGAAATCCGTCGCTGAGCACGGCTGCGCATCGGGACTGGGACCTATTCAGATTCTTTTGATGTAGAGAACCCCCACATCATATTCATATGATATGATTATATATATATATATGCTTTTACCAAATTGTCTTTTTGCAGACCATTGCAGACCTACTAATGCAGACCTACTTTGCTTTCCTTTGAGATCCAGAAATCAAATCCACGAGTGAAGCAGTCCACATTTTCGGGCACGTGAGAAGTTGTTAAGCCTGCTGTCCTTTCATGTTGCAGTGAAAACCAAGCAAACACATGCAGCAACTGCAAATGAGTGTTGGTAAGACTGAGCTGTTGCAATCATTGCAAGAACCAATATATTCTTACAAAACTTGGGATGATCCTCAGGACGAGCCTGTGCTGGCAGGATGAGCCTGGCAGCCTGGACTATCAGGGTTGTGCCTGGCTGGTCGTGGTTGGCCGTGGCCACTATTGTTGTTCAGTTCTCTCACGGTAGCTACCTCACAGACACGCTGTGTCATCCTTGCATCATCCTTATCCGTACTGGGACCTCGCCCACCAAGCAAAGGTCGAGCTTTTGAGCTGCGATGAGAGGACCTTTGTCTTTAAAAGAGAGAGAGGACGCAACGTTAACAAACGCCCATGCGGGACGTCCCATAGGCCTGTACCATAGAATGCCCTTACCTTACTTTGCTTGGAACATGGCCAAAGGCACTGTGCCCAGCTGTCGCAGACTTGCAGCACCAGCTTCGAACCATTGTGTGTCCGGTTCCGTAGACAATCACAACAGCACGAACAGCATCTACCAGGCGATAAATGGCTATTCAATGCCATTCAACTCAACGCAATTCAATATCATTCAGTATTATTCCTAGAGTAGCCCCCCCCCGGGGCCTTTTGACAGATCGCACTCGCTTGAAAACACGGAGGGATGCCGTATGCTTACTGAACGCTTTCATTTCCCTCGCATTCCATGTAGCTTGGCTTCCTAGGTGCTAGGCTTCGCCCCAGAGTTTCTTCTTCCTTGCTGAGGATTTCCACTCCATTTGCAATTTAAAGCACGAGCGAGCATGAGGGTTCTTGAATTGCTTTATCTCAAGTGTGGGTTTAAAGTTTAAAGTAAAGAAAACGAGCCTGCAGCCTGCAAGTGTAGAAGTTTTCAATCAACGATGCAATGACAGCATTTCTCTGCTGGATGCAGCTCTGCCCGTCCAGAAGCTATGCACACTGAAGGTGTGCAAGTGATGTCATCAGTGAGCAGAAAAAATGGCCGCAGTTATACCACCAGTTTCCATTATCAGTCATCCAGTATATCAGTATTGTAAATCTGCTTGTTGTTCATTTTCACTCATGCAAGACCCAATGTGATTCCATGTCATTGGTGGTTTCTGGTAGCCTTTTGCTTCAAACATTTTTGCAGACTACCCGCGCTCGTAGATCGATCCCAAGATTCTTCAAGAGCCATGCAGTCCTTGCGCTTGATCGCTATTGCCATGCTCATGTCCTTGGTCGGTGCCAGCAACTCCACAACGACCATGACGACTACAAGCACAGATGTTGATGCCACCGATATAGGTTCCGGATACATGGCCGCTCCATCTTTTGCAGCTGTGGTACCTTGGCGAGGTCTCAAGTTCAGCTTTAACTGTCATTAAAACATGAAACATGAAACAGACGCCAGTAGGCCCAGTATGAAACAAAGTATGAAACAAAGTATGAACACAACGAAGATATCCGTTGAAGCAAAGTGCAGTATCATCAGTACCTTGAGGGGTGGCCCGAAAAGAAAATCGTGTTGCTGGTGCAAGGCAGCCACAGCGGCAACTTGCTATGGAGCTTTGAATTGAGTCGCATAGTCAACTTGCAGTGGCTGATCGCACGAGTTGAGATGCACCACAAGAAGACGCACAACGAGACGCACAACGAGATCCCATCACAGTTTTTGCAGGCGCTGCAATATCTCTGGGTGTGGGGCAAATGGGATCTACTAGTGAGGTGACTTCGGCGTCATAGATGTGGAGAGATTATGGCTGCCAGCTGACTCTTTGGTGATTTTTACTGATTTTACATTGATTTTACTGGTTCTGTTCATTTCTGTTCTCTCTTGTGAAACTGTTCATTGCTTGTAGGCGTTGGGGTAGCTACGCCAGTGAGAGACTGGTGTGCATGCCGGGCGCGGAAGCCTCCATACTCCTGTGGAGTCCAGTCACAATGCAGCTCAAGTCTGATTGTCTCAGTGTATGTAATGATTTATAATATATATATATATTATTATATATATATAATATAATATATATATATGTAAAAATGATATTATACATAAATACATCAATAAATCAGGTATCATGTGTTTCCTGAGTGACATGATGTGGTTGTAGATTGAATGATTGCTGGCAAGGAGTGGCCCAACCACAGAGAATGCAGCAACAATATGAGCTGAGTCGATTACTTTCGTACTTCCAAGCATTTTAAGCATGAAATAGACAAAAGTATGATGGACGTGACAATGGAGGCTGCTGCATGCCCGGGACCTTGCAGTTCAGAGCCAAAGGCTCGAATTCAGTGTTTTGAATAGTGCGGGTAGTGCTTCTGCCAATTTCTTAGTTGGGAAGATATTTGTGCGAGCTGCAAACATTCACAACCCACTTGGGGTTGGATCCATCATATCTTAGACGATCTTAGACATCTTATCTCCTTTGGCATTTTTGAAGCAGTGCTCGGGCGGTGTACTCGTACAGTGTATGCATCAGCCAGTTGCCAAGAGCTGCGCAGACCATACCAAATTCCCCCGTGCGATGACAATGGAGGAAACATGGCAGGTTCTCTATATTGACTTTTGTGCGAAATGCGAAGGCAAATGAAGACCTTCAGAAATAGAGGGCAAACAAAAAGGCTGAGCGGAGCAGCACCAGGTTTGCACAACCTTCGGTATTCTCGTCAAGGATGCTCCCCTATCATCCCTAGTGACTGGCACCTTTTGTGCTTCCAAAAAGAAAATTGCTGCCTACAGTCTTTCTCTGGAGAGTGGGATGATATCCGAATTGGGAACAGGCGATCTGCGGATTTGACTTATGAGGAGATGTGAGGGGTTCTGGGTGTGAACATGCTGACTTTCATTGATGTCGTCATCCATCTCTCCATTGGACCTTCGAACGCAGACAGTGCAAAGGACCCAAACAAGTCCAAAAACGCAAATAGCAAAGATGTTGCCAGCAACTTCAAGCAGTTGCAACAGAAAGCAGTTCCTTTATTTCGCCCAACTTACACATGACCACATGGCCTACATTTCACAGAGAATAGCGATAAGGAGAGCTATGAGAGCTATGGACCATTGAGCCAGCCATTTGCACCGGCCATGGACATGAAAACAGGCAGGTCGACGGAAGTGATCTTAGCATTGTGGTGACACCCATTTAGCCCCATTTAGCTCCTAAACTTACGACTAACTGGAATATTTTGATTTGTTACCATCTTTGCTTCGGTGCCTTGTCATGATTTGTGGCTGTTGTTCATTTGACAGTCTAAGTCTATCTTTCTTCTTTCCAGTGATTGTTTTCCCTTCAATTGCAAGTGCGGTCTGGCCTTCATGTGATCGCACAATCAAAGTTCTTCCCTCCAGGAAAACATGAAGAACTCTAGCGATGTGTATAGTATTGTGTGGATGTGTGAGATGTGAAAACCATTGAAAACCTATAAACAAGATCGAATACGCAACCATTTCAACAAGTGCCCTTCAAAATGCAGTGCCCTTGGGATTTCCTACTGCCCATGTTGAGGACATCGCATCACGCCAGGCTTATGGCTCCCCGACGGGGCCATGCTGAGGCAGTGATAGCAAGCCCCATCGCCAGCCTGTATATACCATATATACCTATAGTGCTACCGCATGCTACCGCAATGTCTATTTTGCATACACAAAGAGAAGCTGTGGCATTTTACAGGGCAGTCTTTCGCAAGCTTTTCCATTTCATTTACAAACACCGTCAACCATCCATAGATGTGAGCTGTATAGACACTTTGACCATTGTTTTGCTCAGCACGCACACACCCACACACATTCATTTGGGAGATTTTGGAAATAGATTTGAGTTGGGTTGGGTCATGCCGTGCACTGATTTCACTGCACAGGCCATGTCGGAGCAGCTGAGAAAACTTGTGGGCTCCAAACGAGATCATCCACCATGGAAGGAGATCAAATTCAGGTGACGGCACGACATCTTCTGCCTACAGCTACTCTAAGTATCAATTCTTTTGTCTGGGCACATGAAAAGAAACACCAGGTGCGAGATCTTGGGAACGTCTACTGTAAGTTTGCCCCGCAAATCTTCAAGATCAAACCCATCTTTTATCCTTATGAGTGGCGGGAACTTTGCACAGATATGGGTTTGTCTGAAAATAGGATTACCCCCAAATTTGATGGAGTTAACATGAGTTAACCACGGCCAATCATTATTTTCCCCACGTTATGATTTTGAGGCAATCCCCATAGACACAGCTGGGGATGGATCAACACCCAGATTTTGGGTGATGAGCACACACATTTACCAACTATGTCCATTAGGCTACCAGGGTTTTGACCCATACCCATATGAATGTCAACTTGGTAAACCGGAAAAGTCGGGTTGTTCCAGGTGCTCCTTCCACAACACGATCTACGATGTTCTGAAATCCAGAGGTTTCCGAGAGACAGAGGCGGAGCATGAGGAGCAGTAAAACATGGTACAGAAAGCCACAGCGGTTCTGATGTATATAAATATATATAAATTATATCTAATATTATTATTGTTATTATTATTTACTTATTTTATATATACTGTACACGGTACTGTATATACACATTCATGAACACAAGAATGCATGTGTATATTCAGTGTATATACTATGTAATGTGTGGCAAGAGCATCCAAACAGCTTTCAGGACCATGCACAACTTGGACGACTTGTATTGTGTCGATTTGTATCGATTTGTCATGATTTGTAGTTTTGGTAGGACGGAGGTACCCAAGAAAAGGGTTGTTTTACTGTTGCAGACGAAGCGGCACCTGTTGATGCTTATGAAACTGTCTTCGAAATATAAGATATATAAGGAAGTGTACCGTGTACCGACAGTGACAAGATGCGGGAAACACACTATCGACCGAGCCAATATTGTCTAGAGTGAATTCTCTTGCAAGAACGAGCTCGATTGGGACTTATTCTGGTGCGACAAAGACTTGCCGGCAAGTTTCACGCTTTGCATGAAATTTGCGCAGTGATTTGTCTTCGCGATCGAGCTAAATAGATTTGTTGTCCTTTGCCCCAAATCAGGAAGTCTGTGTGCTTTTCAGATGTTTTCACAGAGTGAGTTCCGCTTTGAACTCTGTCAATTCCGGGTGCTGGAAATTGAGTCTGGCCAGGAATGGATTCACGAAGCTTTTGATCACATTCACCTTCAAGCTCATCAGCTCCTCGACAGCAGGGAAGGAAACTCCGATATTTTAGATATAGATAGCTCAGATTGTTGCAGGGAGTTTAGCCACATCTGGTGTTGATTGATAATGTCACAAACTGGTATTTTATATATACAATGTATTCTACCCATTTTGCCCAGTTTGTCCCAGTGGGACCTGCACAGCTTTCGCCAAGCTTGGCTCAAAGTGACTTCCCATTGGGTGCCATGACAGCCATGGCATTAGGTGCTGAAATGGACTTGGTTTCCTCCAAAGGAGAGATTGGGTCGGAAGGCTGGGATGCAACACCAAGTGCTGCTGCGATGCCTTTTTTGGCGCTGGAAGCTGGAGAGATAGAAAACCGGCTGCGAAAACACACCATTGAACTCACTGAGCCAGCCATTGCCAAGACTGCTGCCTTTGAACGGAAGCTGCATGAAGTTCGACTATATACAGATCAAAATGCCGAGAATCTGAAACAATTACACCAGAAGCTTTCAGGACAGGAAAACCTGAAACTTACAGTTGAATCTTTTAGAGGGGAACTCTTTGAATGGGATAAGGAGCGCAGAGACCATCAGCACTTGATGAATGAAAAACTATGTCTGCAGGAAGATGAGCTGAGTGCTCTTCATCGGAAGATTGAATTACAGTCCTTTCGGACTGAAGCTTGTAATCGAGGGCTCAAGCAGATGGGGGATTTGTTGGCTGAAACCAAGGATGAACTCACTGAACTCAGAGGCTATTGCTCGGAGCGCATCGATATAAACCGTGAGAAGATCTCGAGGTTGCGAGATGAATTGGAAGCCAAGCATTCCGCCATAGAGACCACCCAGTTTAGGCTGAGCGATGATATTACCAGCATGACTACAGTCTTTCAACATGTAAATTCTGAGGTAGAGAAGATTGCGGTCAACACAGCCCAAGCTGTGCAGAGTGTTCAGGAGTTGTGGCATGTGAAAGCCACGGTGGCCAGTGTGGAAGAGCAGCAAGAGACGTTTGCAGAGTTTTCCAGGAGCCTGACAGATACTGTTGGATCTTTAAAGATGCAACTGGACAGTCTTCTGACGAATGTCCAGGTGCAGTTCCACACTGCTACGCAAGTCATGTCTGCTTCCACTTCCAAACAGATTGAAAGCATGCGCAGTCAATATTCACAAGATATCGAGCAGATGGACAGTATTATCAAGGAGAACACAGCTATAAATCAACGGGTCAGTGATCAAGAAGAGAGTTTCCGAGCCAGCCTTGCAAGTATACAAGAACACTTTGGAGCAGAGATCTCCAAATTGCATCTTAGCCTCAGTGAGAAAGACAAGCCCGATACAGTTCGGGAACAGTTCATAATTGAGGTGCAGCAGCTTCGTCGCAATTGCAAGGAATTCCAAGAACGAATCCTTCAGCATGAGCGTGCTCGTGCCTTGGAGAGGGATGCCATGCATGCCATCGTTGAAAGTCAACAAATTTCAGCCCAGATACATTTTCATGACGACCAAGACCGCAACAATATTGCCCTTTTCGGGTGCAAGCCCGCAGAACGCAGTGAAGGGATGTTACCCAGCCTGGATCCCAAATTGCAGAACCAAACCCCTCGCTCAAAAGAAAGTAGTAAGGCGCTAAGTGCTCCATTGGTGTCGTTAGATAAACGCTGCTTGTCGTGTTGCGGTGGAGCTGGAAGTGTTTTAGCCGGCTTTAAGATAGCTTGTCTGAATTACACCGCTGGTCCTGTTGAATACCGACAGACCATGTATTCTCGAGCAGACCTTCTACACTTGCAAAGCAAGTTGGTAGACCAAGCGTATGACAGAATGCGGCGGGCAGCTAACATGTAGCAAAAAAAATGGTGGCAAAGCGGCGGGTGGCAGGGAGTTGTCAGCACGGCAGCTGCATTTGGGTTTGACAGAGTAGAGTTTCGTTATTGGGTTTTGGTGGAAGGGAAGACGCAGAGGACAGGTACAAAATGGTACAAATGGATCCTCAAATGCCAGTGGTCAAGGCGAGTGAATCACTTTCGCAACCACTATGAGTTGACCAGGCCGGGGCACTTCGCAACTCACACTTTGACTTACAGCTGACTTACATGCATAAAAGTATTTGATTCAGCTCAGAGACGAACGGCGACGAATGAGAGGTTTAGGAGGTTTCAACATGTTCACGGATAGTTTGGAATATGCTCAGCCAGTAGTCCGTAATACTTCAACAGAATTTATCGGAATTTCAATATGTAGCTTGGACGATACCAGGAAGGATTTGCTGGTGAAGAACATTCGCCGTGCTCATCGCCAAGCTTTGAAGGACCCACGTGCTGAGACGGGCAACGTTCCCTGGGATGTCAGGGGGCAATTCAACCCAAATGCTCTCCTTGGGGAGCAGACAAGATGCACACAATAAAATCAGTCTTGTGTTGCCGGCATGCATTTTTATATACGTATTTTTATGCATTTCGTGAACTTTTTAAATCAACGAGGGCACTGAATCTTGGTGTGTGGTCGTTGTTGCCTTTGTACTTATCACCTCCGACGTTCCATGCCAGTTTGTCTTTCCTGTTCAACCTCCAAAACAACCATGGCAAGTGGAAAACTCTTTGCAACTGACTCACTGCAGGATGGTTTGATGGAAGAGGTGCTATTCCATGGGCATGTTTGGAGTGAGCAACCAGCATCTGTTTCCATCATCCAAGAAGAATTATAATTATACTAAGCAGGCTCATGGGAGTTCATAGGCATTCATAGGTACATATACTCCTGTAACAAGTCAGCTGTATCCGCCTGGTGTGTTCTTATACGAAGTCGACAGTGATGCGTGAGACGTGCACAATATTGCATACTGTAACACGGAGAAAACGCTGCATTAAACATCATTAAACCACTTGTATATCTTTGTGAGCTTGTGATTTGCGGAACGAAACACCAGCTGATCTACCTGGAGGCACAAGGATTCGCTGCTTGCTCCCCAACAACCTTTGTTTTGCCCTTGGAGCATGGACCCCAGCGCTGCGCATTGAGGGGGAATCATTGAGGGAATCACTGAAGATTCACAGCTACTATAAATTCGCTTTTACAAATGTGCTCAGCTGCCACTCTATAAACACGTTGTACGTGACTAGCTACTTTGAACATAAATGAACTTTGTGGTGTGTTTGTGAAGGAAATAGTGTGAACTAGGGCATGTCACAGTTCTGATCCTGGAGTCGCACCCGAAATTGTCCGATACAGGCAGCCTTGGACCCCTGAAACTAATCACCTTCCATGCTTAGCATGATTGATATGCAATTGCTGTGTAGTCCACAATGAAGCTGGCATTAAATATGATTACTAAGACCCAGGTATTCGATGTTTGTCGAAGAGTGGCCATCTTAGACTGGGCGGTCTCAAGATTGTAGATGCGAGATTTGCACATGTTGACACACCTTAGCAACCCTAAACACCTTTGGTGGTTTCTTGCCATTGTGTGAGAATCACATTTCTGTGAAAGGGAGGGCTGCTTGATAGAGTCCTGTTGACAGAAGAGTCTCACCAAGGTTCAAGAAGCAACAAGCCAATGGCACAATTTGGATCATGAAGCCCGTGGGAAAGCTGCTTGGCTAAGCAAAACGCAACTCATTCCAAGATCCAGAGATGTCGGATGCGGACAAGGCTATAGCTCGATTTCTTTGCATCTTGAAAAGGTCGCAGGGGCGTGGAATTTTCCTCTTCGACCGGCTGAGTGTCTTGGTTAAACGTTAAATCATGAGAGCTTGTTGATGTCTGGAATCATTTTTGCAGGGTCGCTGAGATGCGAGCATGGACCACCCTACAATTCGACCATGGTGAATGATTGTGTATGATAGTGAACGATTGTTAATTGTACGTCCAAAATTCATCCACCGACCTTTTCCTATTTCACAGGATTTTCCTGCCTGATTGCCCGCACAAGGCCAAGTGTCTAGCTGGCGCCAGGAGCTGGTTGTTCAATATGTTGATGTCTGAAAGTCATCACAAACTCGTGACGCAGCAGTCTTTCAAGGGTGACAGCTGAGCCACAGCAGCCTTCTTTAAGACATGCGGCAAACAGAGACTTTCTGAAGGCACCCACAGAATGTGGCTGCTGTTCAAGAGATCTTTGTATAATCACCACCCTTTTCGTGGGGTGTAAGCATGGGGGACGTTCAAAAAATGTAAGCAGCAATTTTGACCCCTTCGTAATTTTTCCCGATGGGGGTCGACCCCCCCCACGTCAAAAACCGAGCCCTGGAAGATTTACATTTGGAGGGGGGGGGTCGAAAGTCATAGATACGTCACCCCGTACCCCCCGCTCGTTCCCCCCGTACTCTACGGAGGTAAAAATTGTTCACTGTCCGACCCATTCCATTGTCCGAAAACTGTCTCCACGAAGTTTGCAGATGTTTGTAATCAACCTACACCTAAGGTCCATATTTCCTTGCAGAAACTGCTCAAAATAGATGGTGAAGCCATGTAACCATCACACACCTGAGGTCCATATTTCCTTGCCGAAACATAAAGGCTCACAAAGGGCTTACTATAGGTGCCCCATCAGGATTCATTTTAGGTCCATTTCAGGTTCATTTGAGGTGCTTTTGAGGTGCATTTGAGATCATTTTGTTGCTAGACTTGCGTTTCATATTGGTTGTCAAGCTTTGAAGATGTACAGGTTGGCACCATTAGACGCATTAAGCAAGGAAATATGGACCTTTGGTGTAGGATGGCTAGATGAGTTTATCTTGATTTTATCATCTACTTTGAGCTGTTTCTGCAAGGAAATATGGACCTTAGGTATAGGATATTTACATGATTTTTACACCTGTGCTCAATTGCTTCCTCATAGGCAGGAGGTAAATTTGAAGACCTTCAACATATCATTTTTCATTTATTTGGAGTTCAAGGATTTTCCAGCAATTTGCAAGGAATAATAAAACCTTCTATACCTCTATGTTACATGTGGACATGATAAAAAAGGTGCAAAAAAAGCGTAGAATGTATTGGAAATACCAAGCAATTGGGATCCTACCAACTTTTAGTTTGCATGTTTGATTTTCTGCAATTCGGCAGCTACTTGCAGACCTTCACACTATAATTTCACATTTTTTCATTTTCTTGCATTTTTTTCAAAAATGCCATCTTACATTTTGAACGCACCCCTGCGTTTTTTAAGAGAATAAATGAAATCCCGTAAAGAATGAGGGGACCTACTAAAATGAAATGTTGCAAATAGAACGTAGTTAGAAAATAAATGCTTGCTGACATTTACCAGGCCCCCCTCCCTCAAAAACGTCTAAATTATGTCCTGCAATTTGGGTACGTCCCCCCCTTAAAAGGGTAGTGATTTTGTATACTACTATGTAAATATACAGACATCAACACATCGATGTCACCTGTGGCTTTAACATTACAGCCGATTCCAGCCGGCTGACAGAATTGAAGGACCCAAAGTGGATGCGCCTGCAGAAGGAGGGAGAGCAAAAACCCAGAAACAAAAAAGACGGTGGCAATCCCAGTGCTAGTCATTGAGCCATGTCAAATGTGTTTAGATGCAATTGAGCAACTGCATTGGGCATGATTGAGGCGACGAAGATGAGGAAGAAAAGAAGGAAGCTGAGCCTTATGTGGCCTGCCTCTCAGAAGCGATCTGGAGGTGATTGCTTGTGAGAGGCTGGTTCTTGAGTCCTGCCCTAGCGGCTTGATAGGGCTTTTCTGAAGGAAGGACTTCAAATCAGTTGACCAACTGACAGTTGTCCTTCGAGGTTCAGCGGTACTTGTCGGATCCTTTGCTGATTGGTGGGAAGAAGTTTGATTTGCGACTCTATGCCCATGCCTCAGGTCCACAAGCAGAGCGGGTCATGGAAAGAGTTTAGCCATGAGAAATGTTTTCAGGGATCAACGCAAGGGTTGCTGTTCAAATGTAAAGCGAGTCAACCAGGAAACACATTGATGTTATATTATATATAATATGATTATGATACTGTTATAATTATAATATTGTAATATTGTAATATTGTTATATTATATAATTGTATAAATATATAATACATTATTGAACGTATGATATCCCCAACATTTCCCATTCGACCATCACAGCTCCTTACCACTGGTTCTGGCAATTCCCCAGATATGACCCCTGCCCCATCAGGTTCTGGTCACGAGCTACAGCCCTCTGACAGTCTACCTGCTTGCGCCTGAGAGCTGTTGCGGCTGTTGCCTGGTGAAGCAGTGGGGATGGCTATGTATTGCTCAAACATGCTCCTGAAATACTCGTTCAACATTCATCAATATATGTTCGTAGTATATATATATATATATAGATACTGTGTGTATATATATATATATAATTTATTATATATATAGATATGATAGATATAGTGTAATTATATATATAATATGGTCACTCCCCCCAGAACCTACCTCTCTGCAATCTGAGCTTCAACTTCTCCCTGACCCACCTCTCCACCTTTTAAGGACCACTTCCAGTGCCAAAACCTGGTCTGCATCTCTCCCATTCTCAAAGCTCTGCATCGCTTTGAAGTTTGTTTTCAAAACAAAATCCTTCTATATACTGTATATATATATAAAATACTCCTTTAGATTTCCTCTATAAAATAGGGATACCCAGCTATCGTTTAAAATGACAATTTTACACAGCTGAGGTCTGTGCACAAGTGTCCCAAAAAATACAAAAAAAGAAGATCCTGATTTTATAGGACCAATCCATGGGGGCCCAGGAACCTGACTTTATCAAGGCCCAAGCGGAATGGGACAAGCTGCCAATGCATCTGACTAATATGATAGTTATTGAGGTTATTGAGGTTTCGGGCAGCACTTGATCCTCTTAGAGATTGTGATAATGTAATCTTAGAGATTGTGATAATGTAATCGATAGATAGATATGATATAAAGAGAGAGAGAGAAATCGACAGATGGATAGATAGAGAGGATTTCAGACGTGCCAAGAACCATGGAAAAAATCCGACACCATGTCCACTGAGCCACCTCTCATGGACATCATCCAGGGGTCCTTGCTTTGCTGGCTTTCTCATGCTTTGATTATCTTCCCAGAAGATTATTTACTGTAAGACCATGGGAAGAAACACAACACAGCCCAGACCTGAAATAGAGGAAACAAGCAAGTTCCAGCATCATCTTTGAAATTCGTTTTCAAAGCAACATCCTCTTATATGTATATGTATATATATATATATCCCCTTGTGCAACGGTACTTTTCAAATGATATGACATTCCTTGCATAAAGTTGCACCATTTTGTACAGTCTCTTTATATAAAGGAATGTACTTCTTTGACAGGAAAATAACACTACTTTCAGACTTACAGCTGTGCAAAGTTCTTGTAAGGAGGTAAAGGAATTTATCGATTGAGGACAGCATTATTTCAGAATGGAATCCTTTGAGTACCCATTTTAAATGACTATGGTATTTCTTAAAGAAAGTGTTGGCGCAAGTATGTGCAAAGTGGAGAGTTTCTCATTATTTGATGCACTAGTGCAAAGAAACAACACTGTGAAATATAACCCTTCGCGTGAGATCCCGTGTCTTTGCTGCATGTACTCTTAAAGAACCATATTATCAATGTATATAATATAGTTATGCAATACGTTATTCCATATAAGCGAAATTCTGGAACAGACCACGCAAATTTATTTGGCAGGAGTGAAATCTTTAAAGCAATTGTTATGCAGAATAAAAATGAGAGGGAGGCTGAATTTCAAAAAAGATATATTGCATATTGCTACACTACAGTTTTTCAAGAATGTTGTTTCTTATTAAAGGAATACATTGTTTCAAGGCACTTATTTAGTTTTGAAGAAATAACGTATAACGTCTGTCCTTTGTTTAAAACTTATCATACAAAAAAAACACTGAGAGGATGGCCAAATTTCATTAAAAGATATATTGCATATTTCCACACATTTGTTTTGCAAGAACGTGGCTCCTCGTTTTCCTTTAACAACAACCTCTTTCTGTTTCAAGGAATGCTGCAATGTTCACTGACCACTGCGCTTTTGGACAGATTGGAAACACAGTTTTTCCTCGCACATATCAGTGGAAATGCTCTTTTGGTAGATTCAGGGGTGTGAACATATATATAAATATAATATAATATATAATATAATATAATATAATATAACATAATATAATTTAATTTAATATAATATAATATAGTATAATATAATATAATATAACTATATATATAATATATATAATATAATATATATAATATAATATAATATAATACAGTATAATATATAATACAATACAATATAATATAATATAATATAATATATACACATTTGTGTGCATATATATATTTACAATATACATATAACTATATACAGACACAATATCCTTCAATATATGGTTCAGAATTTTAATTGACCATCATCCACTAAATGTTCCTAATGTTCTATGACTTCATGATGTTTCATTGGCAGCTGCCGTGATCTCTAGGTATCGCAGTGGATTTGTCAGCATCTCAGTGTCCACCGTGACCAGCACGCCTGTCGTGTGAATGTTGGGAGAGACTGGCATGGCTGAGCATTATTGACTCCAACAGTTGGGCGCGGGTTAATCGATTAATCGCGATTAATGAAGGTGAATATGTTTGGTGCATTTTCAAGTCCTTTGTATATATATATATATGTATGTATAATAAAAAATAATAATAAAGACATGACCAACTTCAGCGCTGCCCAGGCCCGCTTCTCCCATGCCCGCTTCTCCATGGACTTGGCAGATCTGCTGCTTTGGTTAAAATCTTACAGGAGAGGGGGCCAGAGGAGGTGGGCTGATTTTCATTATATAAATATGTTAAATATATATAAATATAAATCCGTAAAATGAGACATATTCATGACACTCGCGCACATGTACCTGAAGACAAGAACGTGATGTCATACATATAACATTTATGATGTTATATAGATATTCATTCATGTCATGAATTCATGATGTCATCATCAAATGATATCAATCGGTGTTACTCAATTTGGTTACAACCATTGGCTATAGATAATTGATACATGACTTCCATAAGAATTATACTTCATCGGTGTCCACCAAGTAAGGTCATCACCAAGTAACCACCATGGTACGCTTGTCACAGTTCGCCGCAGCCGGGCCCGTCCGATAAGGTCTGATGCCATGATCCACTTGACCAATGTGGTGTGTACCACCCAGACGGAGAGCTCTTCAGTACGAAACAACAATCCGTTGGGATATTTGATTGTATTCTATGATATTTTGATGATATTTGGGCCATTATCTGGGTATTGGATATTTGATGGTATTTGGATATATTTGGATATTGCCTGTTTGTTGAGTTGAGCCTATTTGTGGACCTTTTTGGATATTTGGATTGTGAAATTCTTGCAGGCAGTGCAAAAGCATAACGAAAACTATGACGAGAAGCGAGGCGGAAAGTGGGACTTGCCTTTTGGCAGCACAAACCAGATGCATTCACCATACAGAGCTGTGTAATGGTGCAAACAACATCAAACAACTGCTTTAGTTTGAAGAAGCCGTGGTCGTTCCGACAATGGTGGTGGTTTGCAAATGCTGAGGGTTCACTTCTCAATCTTTGTCAGTCTGTTGGATGAAGATAGAATATAGAGTACATAGCTTGAGCTCGGTGGCATCCGCTTGTGACAAGAGGGCGGGTAATTAACAAAGTGTGGCAGTGTGGACCTCGATCATTTCGTTGACAAATTGTGTTGTCCCGGACAGGATGTCCAAGATTTGTTAAGTCCCATGAACAGCTGATGCAAAGCTGAGGCGTGCCCTGAAACTGCACCTGATGATGACTGAAAATGTCGGGTGCGCTGTCACGTTTAAGCGGGGGATCAGGTTGTTTATTTGGATCAGGAGCTTGTAAAAAGTATCGAGTGGTTTCGACAGAAAGGACCGTCTTTTCCACCACCCGCTCGATCTAGAACTCAGTGGGGCTGGGGCTGGGAAAAAGGCTTAGGGCATCTTGTGAATGTCACATCCACCAGAATCCACCATGCTGTTGCTGCTGACCTGTCAGGAAAGTGAACCAACTCTTCAACGACATGCAAGACGTCATCCGATTCTCATTGCTTTCGGCAGCTTGAATGCAGAGAGGTTGATGGCTAGGTAGCTTCAACACTTAAACGAGAGAACTGGCTGCAGCAACCAGATGCTGAAGAACGACTGTGAATACCTGCTGTTGATTTGCACAACGTGACAATCAAATAGTTTTTTGTTTATTTATTTGATTTTATTTGAAGGACTGTTTGTTGTTGCAATGGTAGATCAAACATGACTCAAACATTAGTGACTCTTGGTCGAAGGATTTAGTTCTGATGTAGAAACGATCCCAGGTGCAGAAGGTGATGATCCAAGACAAGCATTGCCCGACTCTGAAGCGTGGCTTTCAGAAAATCAGGATCTAAGGGGTTGTGATTTATGAATATTTATGAGACTTACAGAAATTTGCAGTGTTTTTTTTTTAAGGTTTAGTTTTTTCTTTGATTGTGCATTCTGAGGTTTTGAGCTCTATGGCTACGACATCATGATCTCCAAGGACTGGATGAATTATGCTGAATTGCCATCACAATCCATGCTTCTTGAGACCTGTAACTTGACTTAGTCCTGATGGGAAATTGATGGGGTGTGGTATTCTGATGTGTGCTTATTCGACTCGTTCGCACGCAGAATTTCTGCCCTGATCCAGCAGGACCTGAAACCCTGGTTGATTGAGGCAACTTTCTGGAGCTGCAGCTGTACTGTAGTGCACAGGTTAAGTCATGCTACAGGGGGTCCACCTTTTATAGCTAATTGTTTTCAAAGCATTTGTAGCCTTGAGCGTTGTAGTCTACTAAGAAACATTCTGCACCAATTCAAACAATCGGTGTTCAGGTGAATGCATCTCCGTCACTATCAGCCAATACAGTCTGTGCCTTATTAAAATAAAGGCCGAAGAATTGGAACAAGCACGAGAACTGCAATGACCAGAGAAATATTGAGGTTGATGCATGTTGATGCCATTGAGCTCGTGATAGCTTGCGAAAGGAACATGCAAGTTGACTCCGTACGGCACGAAAGCCGTCTCCTTGCATTCAGAAGTGCGTAGTCATATTTGAAAAACAGTGAGTCTACTTGGTTTTGCAAAGAGCGCGGACCAAACATACAAACAATACTAATATGTATATACTGTATACCAACATACATGTCATCCATTTACATATAAATGCACATTTATACCATATTTAGAATATACAATATAATATGTAATATACGTATAATACATAATATAGAATAAATGATAATTAATAATAATAATAATCATAATGGTAATAAATAATATATAAAATATAATGTATACATATGTATACAGTATAATGCATAATGTATAATATATGATAATATAACAATAACAACAATACGACTAATTATAATCATTATATATATACTATATATTTATATACATTATATTGTATAATATGTACATATGAAAGAGATAGATGAATGCAGCAGAAATCATGCGCCAAGGTCTCTGACTACGAGATGAAGTTTGCTTTGCTTGACGATGTGACCTGGTTTTGCAGATGGGTTGCGCTTGTTGCCTCTTTTGAAGTTCTCACTGTTGTGCAAGAGCCTAACAACTACGAGCTTAATTGTCAAGGACTCTTGAGTCAGAGCCACCGTAGAGATTCATTGGCAGGTGCCATTTGAAGGGGAATGGATTCGCATTTGATCCGCACTTGTACTAGGTACTGACAGTCTTGGATTTTGAGAAGTACCTCGATGGCACGGAAGAGCAAATTGGAGGCCGCATCTTCAAATGGACAATTTACTTCTGAAGATTTCAGTTTTATCTCAGGGATGGTATTCATTGAGTTTGAAAACTTGGATGTCGTGTTTTTTCGCTATGTGAAGCCGCAGGCTTTGACGTTTTATACCGCAATGGGGCAGGGAAGCCAAGTGACGGTGGATGAGTGTGCTGTCTATTTGGTTTTCCAGCTCTCTGTCTCTCCCCGCCTCTGTCCCTGTCTCTTTCATGAAGGCAAGTCTTCAAACATTTGCAAGACAGCGCAGGGAGATTGTGCTGACTTGAAACTGTTGAAACGTGATCATTGATATCGTGTAGATGATACCATCAAGGCGAGGGTTGGCCCAGCGCCGACAGCAGCATACAGGCACTCTGTCAAAACGCATGTCATGTCGCTGTGGCGATGGGCAAGGCAAAATATCAAGCGGCTGCCTGGAAGAGGTCTTGCAAGGTTTTTTAGATCGACAAAACAAGTCAAGCTGCAGAATGGTTCGGTCACAGTGATTGTAGGAGGCCGTAATTGGATGTACCAGAGTGACACACCTGACGGTGCCAGCAATGGCATGTATACACTAATCACTTTACTGTAAATCTTATAGATTTTATAGATCTTATATATAGATCTTATAGATAGATATTATAGTTGCACATGTCAGGGACTGAGGATTATTCAGGCTCCCAGATGGGCAATCCATACCCCGACAGCCCAACACCTCAACTCCGCGGCGCAGTACTCACCTTGGCTGCCGCAACAATCGGGCTGAACAGCTGAGGTGCGATGGATGATCAGTGAAGTAACGTGGCAGACTAAAGAATATCCAAATAATAAAGTAGAAAAAAAACCCGGATGGTTTTCACATGTTTTTTTCATATAATCACCTATTTATAATACTATTGGAGATGGTTCACTGCATTAATGATGATGATATTGTTGAAGCCTAGGTCTCGACATGGCATTCACAGAAGGAGTCATACAATCAGACACCACCACCACCACCACCACCACCACCACCTCCACCTCCACCTCCACCTCCACCTCCACCTCCACCTCCACCTCAGCAGTCACAGGCGGTTGGCTTTGCAACTGAGCAGAGAAGAGGGAAGGTTGGACCATTACTATTGAGGGAATGTGGTGGCAGCCATGCGTTCGTCCTATCCATACACATCAGTACATATCATTCTATGATATTGTATATCATCATACATCATCATAGACTATAGTATAGGTATTATATAACTATATACTATATATGATGATTAGCCAGACGCAGCGGGTTTTATTTTCAAAGCTTTATATAGATTTCTTTGCTTTCTTTCCTTCTTTCCTTCCTTCTTCCTTTCTTTCTTTCTTCCTCATTATCATTCGGTTGTCGTACTGGTAGCATTGCCAGGAAGAGAACTGCCATTTTGCAGCCTCCCCCGTCAGCGGCCGATGACCCAGCGGCTGATTGATGGTTTGGAGGATCAGCAATCCTCCACGTTTTGAAAGAATCATTACCATGATCATTGGTAGTTTATGTTATGTTGGACATGTTTGATCATTGATGATTGATCATGGATAGTTGATGGTGATGACTGTGCTGCTGCTGCTGATGATGATGATGATGATGAAGATGATGATGATGATGATGATGATGATGATCACAATGGAATAGCTGTTCAGAGAGCTTGAGTTGAGCCGAGGTGTCAGGTAAACGTAGAGGCCGTGAAAAGCCGTCATAGGCCAGCACAACGGCCCGGCCCAGGGATGTGCGAAAAACATTGTCAAGACGTCAGCGGACATTGAACGTGCTCCACAAAATCGACCTAAGAGTCTTAAGAGTAGAATGAGTTCCTACTGTAGCAACAGGAAGATACACCTCCACTGCATCCAGCCACTGCATTTGTGAGATTCAGCAAATGCGACCACGTTGGAGATTCTTGGGCTTCTAGATTCTAGAAATCCAAACATCATCGAATTTCTTTGTTGTACCTGCAGCTAGCACCACTTCAATTACGGCATCGTCACGACTTTTTCGGTTAGTGCCGAACAAGGTAACAGGTCCGCCCGTCTGCATTTTCAGCCCGCTGTTCTATCACCTCGTCAGGACAGAACCTCGTCAGGACAGATGGATGCTCATCAAGCTCAAGACGACCCGACACAAAACGTGGGGGGTCTTCGCTTGGTGAAAATCAACCGCTTGACGGGCCAAAACGGCCCCGCACATTGCCGTGGTTGGTTCGGTCGCACAAAAAGTCTTGAGTTTTGAGCTGAAGAGCATCTCTTCAAATTGCGGGAGTCAGTGTTGGTTTGGTGTGGCTTTGCATTGTCGTGCGTTCTTGCTCGTACAGTGCAACTACTTTTATATAAAGATCAAATTTGGAATAGTCTCGGTTCTGAGGTTCCCAATATATGCGCACCCAATGGCAGGATTTGTGGAGACGCTTACATACAGCTAAACGATGTCAAAGCTTACCAGTCATGTGTTTCAGAAGTGCCAACGGGAAAGATCCTTTATTGTGACGCAAGAGCTCTGAGAGAACAGATTGCCGTGTGGCATTTGGCTCTTGCAGCACGTCTCACCAAAAAGGAAGTGTTCTGCGTTCGCCAGCATATTTGACGCTTCTTGTGTCGTGCAGAAACTGCAATTTTGGCACCGCACTGGGAAACTGTCGGGGACAGGTTTGGTGACATTCTGGGACTTGAGATGCAGAATCAACACCACTGGTAGACATCAGCTGCTCCAGCTCCGCATTGGCCGAGCCGCCCATCAAAGATGGCTGGTTTGGGCAGCAGGTGGATGCTGTCACATTTTTGCAATGTTTTCAGCGGCATCCTGTGATATCCCGTGAGCCACAGCTGCAACCGCTAACATGGTTATATAACTGTTATATCAAGGCGTGGGCCGTTCAAGCCCGGCGATATGCGAGCCAACCCAGCAGGGGTCTCAAGCTGGATTTCAGCGGCCATGTATATACCCGGCACACTGAAGGGAGTCTTTGATAGTATTTGAATGAATTGAATGACATTGCAGGAACTGCTCAGATGATCTGAGATGGAACACGATTTCGCTGGGTGTGGTTTTACTGCGCATTTTTTTCCTGGTGATCTCGTGCTTTGACAATGGATCATTACTGTACAGGTGGCAGGTTCTGTCTCAGCCTGACAAATGTTTTGCCAAACTAAGGTAAAGCCTCCCATGTGCTTGCCACCGATGGTGCAAAGGCCAAAGAATCGGACACACGAGTTGGGTGAAGGATTTTGATTGAGTTATGATGCGCTCATCGTAAAATAATGTAAAATATGTTTGACCAAAAAAGAGTACAAGCATGTACAAGCTGTTCAGTAAACGTCTTTAAATCAGGGAATAGGTTTTCTTCTCCGTCGCCTGAAACTCTGTGTGGGACTTCACAGGGCAAAGTGTCCTTGTGACGAATTCAGATAGTGGGATCACAAGGATTTCTCAGTGCCTTTTTTTGCAGCAACACAGTGAACTTCTTAAAGCATCGTGTAATCTCACAGTTTCAAACAGATTCTAACAGTGTATAATTTATATACCACAGTGTACCACAGTATGTTCAAAAAAGGATTTCTATTGATTTATATAGGGATCTTTATGCCCATTGGCCCATTGGCCCATTGTATGGATTCCCATTATGGGATGGTTGACCACTGGCACCACTGGCACCACTGGCACCGGCCATAGCGATCCGCCAGGGCTGCCCAGGCAGCAGAGCCGAAGCCCAGGCGCCGTGACAAGGTGCGCTGCGGTTCCACGATGTTCCACGAAGCCACACAGCACGGCGCTGCGGCGCTGTGCCATGCCATGGCGGCATCGAGGCCCATGAAGAACGCCTGGTCCTGGAATCCGCCTTGGCTCGTGAACCAGTTGGGGGATCCCAGATCCGCCAGATCCAGATCCAGATCTCATGGGAAGTGGATGCTTGGGCTCGAGGTGAGTGCCAGGCAGCTTCCTTCGAAGCTTGGCTGCATGGAAGGAGTGTGCAGATGATGCTGAGATACATCAATATCAATGACACCATGTTTTTTCTTCGGTATATTAATTAAATGCAATGATATACATTCATCAATGGTAATCAACCGTATCTTGCTTTGACCTAGCTTCCATATAAGATCTATTGGGGTGTCGCCCAATTGATGTCAAGGAAGCCTCTTACCGTGGAGTGTCACGAGGGCCGGCAGGGACCCCGGTGGATATTGATGAATCCAAAGGCTGGGGACAAGTAGGTGCAACTGATGGTGACTCTGTCATGGCTTTGATGCGTTTTCTTGTCAAGTGATATTATGCATGGGTGGAAAAAGGAACAACTTTTGTTGCCTTCAATTCAATTTCGTCACATTAGTAAGAGAGCTGTGCAAGAGTCCATCCTGACAAGTGACTGCAGACGTGCAGACGTGTTTGTGGACATGGCGGAGACTGCACTCCGGACACTCGAATAAGGATCCCGACAGACACTGCAGAACATTCGGACAGGCAGCAACAAGTGAAGGAAGGAGTTACAAGTTCGATTGGGCAGATTGTGGATGTCAGAATAATGTCACGAATGTCAGACAGTTTCGTTCATTTGTGCTTCAACTGGTTCAACTGGGTGAAGCTTCCTTTCTGGTTGCACTCCAAAGTCAGGCCTCCTCGGCTCCTGTTGCGGCTCCTGCAAAAGGGGGTGTGGGACTCAGGTTTGCAATGGTTTGCTTCGAAGATGGTGGATGAATATTTCTTTTGAAGTCTTGAAGATTAATTACGGTCCACTTCACAGTGTGGAATTTTTGATATTTTTGGACGTGCCCAGAGGATGCCAGGCACTGTCATTTTCACTAAGTTTGACCAGAGTTTCAAGGGATCTTTTCTACAAAATCTCCTTGTGGACTTTCGGACTCCATGGAATGATATCCCTGTCCCCATCAACCAGATAACTGGCGAAATCATAGAACATACTGTATCCATTTTGTACTTTTTTGTACCATGTATCCAAATCATTCCAAATCTACATTCATTTCAACTCCTGGTACAGGTCCAATACATATCAATACATTCCAATACAGTTCAATAGTTTCCGCTGGCATGTTATGATAGCCATGAGAATTTACCTCACTTTGTTTGCCAGAGGTTGCCGTGGCGGAAGTGCAGCTGGATCCCGCTTTGACTGCCACTGGGCGGAAACGTCTTGATCGTCTTGCTCGTCGCTTTTCAGATTCTGCAAATGGGAATGGGTATGGATCAAAAACATTCAAACACACATTTTGAAATTTGGAGACATCCCTCTGCATCCAGCCTGTATCATGGGATATCATGGGATATCATGGGCAAGGCGCTTTGGCATGACACCCCAACCACTAAAGAAGTGTCGGCTCATGGCAGCACACAAGGAAATTCTTGGTATGTCAGGGTGTGAATGTACAGTATTCCTCTATGATGTGCAATGTGACATTGGAACAAGTTGGAAACATGTGGGTTTGTCTGCAGTCTGAAAATAGGGAACTTCATGGAACTTCCAAATTTCATGGTGTATCATCATGTATCATCAATTTCCCATATTTTTTCATCTAAATGGCAATAAATGGCGGTGTACATGTAACCCATTTTCAGACAAAGCCATGTCAAGAGATACGATCAACAGCCACAGGTCCAGGAGGTGAAGGAAGGGCTGGCCGAAAAGCTTGGAACAGCTCCGCAGGCGAGGGAGTTGTTTCTCTAAGTATGAGAAGTTGAAAAGAACTTTCAGGAATGCCATGGCTGCCATGGTAGCAAGCGGAAGAGTAGTTGATCTGTTGGTTGGACGGTTGATGACGGATGGTGCCTGTTCATGCAGGATCAGCGTTTTTTTTGGCGCATGCGGTGCTTACCAGCTTCCTGTCTGCAAGACAATAGGTCTGCGAAAAACAAATCTCCGGCCGGGCAAAGCGACAAAGAAACCTTGAACGTCCCAGGAACACCAAACAGATCCAAACAGGTTTTGGCCCGGGTCGTCATGACATTGAAGTTCTACTATATCTCAACATTTGTCGATGATGATTTCCTGGATCTGAGGACTACAGTAGCTTCCAGGCCTGTGGCTTGACTTCTGGAGAGTCAAATGCTGAGATTGGATCAGGTGTATTTCAATCGAAAAGTAGGGACTTAATGGGATTTGTATATCCATGAATCCATGATAAAGAAATCCATGGAAATCCTAAAGATAATGATGATAATGGGATGACCACAACCCAATATATATATATATATACTATATGTTTTGACCATGGCATATAAGATAATTGAATGTGTTGTGTTGGAGGCAATTGGACGATATTTTGCTAATTTGGCCAGGGATTCACAGGTGTTTCTACGTCTCCTTCCAGTATCACTACATGCCATGGCCGCTGGTGATACGTCTCCGAGGCATAACATCTCCTTGATCCCTGAGATCTCGCACCGCGCGACAGGAGATGCTGATGGTGCTGGGGATTCACCTTCTATGGAAGGATCACCAGCCACAAGAGTGGGCAAATGATTGATTTGGATTTACCATGCTTCACCATGTTCTACTCTTTATTTCACTGATTCCCCTTGTGTCTGGTGGATTTGGAGCAACCCCTTGTATATCAAGAGGTTCAACCAGGTTTGCAACTTGGAACCTGCGATCAGTTGGCGAAGAACCGGATTCAGAGATAAACTGGCAAAGCAAGATATAAATCTTATATAATATATATCTGAATAGAAATGCTCCTCCATTTTTACCTTAACTTCATTGAAGTCATCCTCAGAAGAAAAGATCCTTGTTAGCGAGTTGAGGAGTGCCTCCTATCTGCGCAAGACGAGGCTCTGATACTGCTTCAAGGGAGACCGTACACTACTGTGGCAACGTGCGACACGCCGATGCTTCTCGCAGCCTCTTTTTGATTAGTGGAGCCTTCATTCCTTCCGCTCACTGGGCGACCACGGAAGTATGAAAGCTAACCCCGGAAAAGCGGCTTGCAATTGGCCAGTTTTGGTCTAGCCGTCTAGCCACAAGTGTCCAGGAAGTTGATCATGACGCAGCTTGAGAGTTGAAACTGGATTCCTTGAGTAAAAATCCTTCAAAGTCAAAAGTTGACATAGTCCCAGATATGCCCAGACTATCCCAGACTCAATGTTGTTTTGCACTTCCAACCTGGAATCGGTGCACAGTCACAGCCTTGGCAGGCATGAACATGGTACCATCAGGGCCAAGTTTGCCTTGGAAGCCCTCAAAGTTCTCCAAGATCAGACACGAGGACTCTACGTACTCATATTGATGAGGGCATCCCGTTTTGATACATTACATGGCATGTATGTAATAAGCATGTTATATTATCAGACATATGTATATATATATAGAATTATACATAATTGCTATATGCAGTATTTAACATTTACATACATTTAACATAACATATATCATATTCTGCTGAAGATTTTTGATCGGGTGACTCTGCTTGGTAGAAGGTTGCGTGAGCGTGCGAGGACCTTCAGCTCTACTTTGGCGATGTGGCACCTTTGGCTCCTTTGGAGCTGGAAGATGCACCGGGACCGGTGAAGCAAGGGCAGCTCGCATGAGTTGTTGATGGCGGGAAAGATATGGAAGGATGGAGACAATAATACCATGGCAATATCATGATCATGCTTTTTATACCCGACAAACCATGGGGTATTGATAAGAGGATTTAAGGGCACATCACTTCGTATGGAACCAATGCGTTCGGATTGTGCGACCATTTTGGGTGACTCTTTCGGACTATAAATGCAGGTTTGAGCGGGGTAAAGTCGACACAATTCTGCGCCCGCAGTCATCACCACATGAGAGATCTTGATCTTGGAAATTGAGCAACCTACGTGCCATCCCATGCCGCTGCCCTCTCCTGTAGGGACGCAGAAAAGCTGTGTGCACGGGACGGAGGCATGTAGTGTGACATGTTCAGATGTTGGAGAAAAGGCTGGCAGTGATGGCTGTCAGGTTTTACCAAATGTGGACACATTGGTTGATGCGATTCCGCTGGCTTGTTTAGTTTGGACTGAGCTTTGGAAGTGTTGCTGTCAAGAACTTCACTAAACAGCCACGCAATGCTACGCATTTTTTGGCTCCAGATATTAGTGAGCCCTTTTAATTTGTTTGGAAGCTCGGCGCTCGCGTTTTCTGGGTCGTTCAAGGCCTCAGCAAGGATCTCGGCAACCAATTCCTTCACAGAGGGGGACAGGTTTGTATATGTTTGTATTCAACATTATTCAACCTTTGCACAGAATTTATGTTCGAACAGGTCTGTTCGAATGTGTGTTGGTCAGATGTTGGGATGTGCTTTGCCGAGGCCAGCCAAGGTGCCCAAGGTGCAATGCCAAAAGGACTGGATATCTGTTGCAGCACAGCACCATCTAAGTTCTACCCTACATCTGTACCTACATCTGTACCTCCTTCGTATTTCTTTGTTCTGGACTTGACTCAACTTGTTGGCAAATAGAACTTGGGCGGCAACCTGGATGGCTCATTGTTTGATACAGAGACAGGTTGGTGGTGTACCGACTTGATCGCCACCACAACTTTCAATTGAACTTGATCAGATTTTATTACACAAGAACGCAAACTCTGGCAGTTCTGATATTCGGAAGACATGTATCTCAGATCTACCAGGAGAGAGCTAGTTTGGTCAACAGTCTCCCAAGTGGAATGTCATCATTGTGCACCCATGCTTGAGATGTTTCTGCATTTCTGCCTGTAGGAATTGCGCAGATAGTAACGGCGTTTGTTACTGATGGACACTTGGAAGCAAACCAGATCTGCGTTTTGAAACCCAACTTGAAGTCTATCACACGGTCGCCCATGTTGCGCGAAGGACCTGTGGTGAAGCCCAAGAGTCCATGGGATGGGGTCACCACTGAGTGTCCTGGCACAGTACTGCTGTGCATTTTTGGCGTTGATGGGTCGTTGATGGGTCGTTGATGGGTCGTTGATGGGTCGTTGATGGGTCGTTGATGGGTCGTTGATGGGTCGTTGATGGGTCGTTGATGGGTGGAAGGTGGGAAGTTCCTGGGGGAGAAGAAATTCCTGGTGGAGGAATCCAAGAACTAACACCTGCAGATAGCTGCAGGCTTCACCTGCTGCATTCAACATGCTTTGTGCCAGCTGTTTCTGGCAAGGAACATCTTCAAGCGGCTACATCCAGTGGTCCAAGACATGATTTACCAGACTCCATCCATGAAGAAGGACGGCATGTTTCGCAACTTGCATTCTTAGTGGTGAACGGCTTCTGAATTTGTCATGCATTGAAGTCATCCACGTGCACAGGAGTGGGAGAAGACCATGAATACCGTGCGCTGCTCAGAGCAATCGCTTCCATGTACAGGGAATATACGGCATGCTCCTGCGATGAAGCAGCAGCAGCAGAGAGCTTGGTGCCTTTCCTGCACGCGACTTTGGTCTTCATGATGTCATTCTTCACTCCTCTTCAATATACAGTAACACTTCCAACTTTGTCCATTTTTTACCATGCCGCAGTCGACAGCCGACAGCGATTAAGGCCATGCTGGAAAGCAAAAAGAAAAGCATTGCGGAGCAGCAAAATTTGAAAGATACGCTGGCATTTTGCATGAATTATTTTTTGTGTTCCGTTTTCAACGAGACCCAGACCCAAATGATCAGAGCGGCCGATGAGATATTTGGGGCATGCAGAGCTGCTTCGGATATTCTTCGCACCAAGGAGGACAATCTGAAGCAAATGAATGCAATCTATGACTCCAATCCAAACATCCTACAGGATTTTCATTCAGCTCTTCAGAACGGAATCTCGGTGCACAGATTTCCAGTTGCCGTTTGATCTACACAATCTACACAGTCTACACAGCACAATAGGGTTCCAATGGTTCGTTCCATCTCCGCGAGCTAAGGATCCGGGCCACGTTTGCGACAGTCGGCATTCTTGGAGGATTCTGCCAAAGGTTGCAGCGGGTGAGGGCTTGGTGGATGTTGCATTCCAGGAAAACGCTCAATATGAAGAGTTCATTCCAAGACATTGGCCAATTTGGCATAATTTGGCACATTGCAACGGTGTGCAGAACATTGGGATGATTCTCTGCCCATGTAATCCTATACTTGGTATCCTATATAATCCCACAGTATGTATACACAATTATACACATACACACATACATATTACATCATATTACATCATATTAATTCATATTACACATTACGCATGATTATACACCTACAATATCCTACAATCACCTACCTATTTTCACCTAGCGTTTTGCCCATCCTCCGATGCCAGGTACCAAGACTGGTGGTCCATGGGATGACGTCACCACAGAGCCATTGGGATATTAATTGGATCTCCGTACAACATGTACAAAGGGAAGGAGGAAAGGGGGAGTGATGTTTTTCAAATGTTTTTTTTGACATTTTACACAACAATGAAAACAGTCAACATCTATTAGCATCTATTGGCAATTACATATTAGCATTAGCATCTACTAGCCACTTGGACCATTTAGCTCAGGAGATTTCGGTTCATCATGTAGCGCACAATGTCGTGACAAAGACATGCAAGGAGAACTACATCTTGGTCCTTAAGACGTGCCGTGTTCCTCTAACAAAGATAAATTTTCAACCTGCGATTCCTCAAAGAAAAGTCAGCATGGCAGTGACCAACCGGAACATCAAATGCAAACTGCTCCTGGTAAGAAAGCCCGAGTGTCTGGAAAAATACTGTAGTTGACGAACCCGCCGTGATCTGCAAAAGAAGCGATTCACAGATGACATGCAGTTTCATGTTTCCTTTCGCAAAATTGCACCGCTGGGACATCTCTTAGTGTGCCGCAGACTCAGCGGGACAAGTTGCCCGGTGTCCAAGGAACTTGTTCAAACGCTTGCATCCCGTGGTCCGGGATATGATGGAAAAGATGCCCGGTGTGAAGAGAGAAACTTGGACAAATGGAAACACGAGCGCTTTTTGTGCGATGCGCGCAGAGATCTTGCATCGCAACTTCTAGCGCAAGAAAACGTACAGTGACTAGTGGTGAAGCAAATACAAGTATCATCAATTATATATCCATGTTTTTGGTGTTCTTTTCTCTGAATCGTTTACCTTGTCCATGTTTTTCGCGAGCTCAGGAGTGGGAAAAAACGATAAATACTGTTGCAGCCTTAGAACCCCGACCGGTGGATTGATATAGTGATCATCAGACTAGCCTTGAGTGAACATCACACGGCAAAGCTTACATTTACATGTTGTAGCTCTACATGATATTTGCATATTATTTGCATATGTTCCCAATCCTTGGCAGCTAAACCCCCACACTACTGCAAACTATACAACTTTTTTTTGTCCGAGTTGTTTTTTTAGTCCTCCGACTGCAGTTGGGAAGTCAGGCCTTGATTCAGAGCAAGCAGAAGCCGGTGAGCGAGCAGCAAGAGCTGCGCGATGCCATGGACTCTGGCCATCAATTGAGCTGGTGCACCTCCAGATACATACTCAATCATAGTCAATATATATCAATATATATCAATATATCAATATATATCAATATATATCAATATATATCAATATATATCAATATATATCAATATATATCAATATATATCAATATATATCAATATATATCAATATATATCAATATATATCAATATATATCAATATATATATCAATATATATCAATATATATCAATATATGTAATCTGACCTGTTTTTATGATAGTTGAAAAGGTGGTACTGAATGTATAGGCATCGTTGGACAGAATGGTCACCCACCAGTATTCGCTACTGGTACGAATCGAGGCATTCTTGAAACGATCACTACAGGACTACAGGTGAATGGGGTACCCCTAGGACACTCTCTAGCATTCTGCAGGAAACTAGTTGAATAGTTGATACTGCTGGAGACGGGAGGTATGCCCAACTAACACCCAATGGAATTAACACAAGTTGAAGATTGTCAAAAAAGGAAGACAAACAAAGCCCCAGTAGCTGCAGACAAATTACACTACCTTTCGTTGCATGATAGTGGGACACTGCCCCAGATGAATGGAGCCCAAAGTTTAAATGAATGGGATGGTTGAAAATTGAAATGCTTTGGAAGGTCTTTTGAACTCCGTTGTCAACGCTTTTTGTGGAGACCCAGCCAGTGAGGAAAAACACACACACACACACTAGATGAAGCTACCAGTAGCGACTGCGCTTGTGGAGTTTTGGCGTCGCTGGACCACCCTAAATCGAGCGTTCTAACAGGGAGCGACCGTCACTCCCTGTTAGAACACTATTTATCTTAATAGCACCATTTTTTTATACATTTTAAATCCCCAAATCACTACCGGTAGTGAGTGTTCTAAGGGCTCCACATTGACAGAATTCCCAATTCACTACCGGTAGTGAGCGTTCTAAGGGCTCCCCATTGACAGAATTCCCAATTCACTACCGGTAGCGAGCGTTCTAAGGGCTCCCCATTGACAAAATTCCCGATTCACTACCGGTAGCGAGCGTTCTAAGGGTTCCCAATTCACTACCGGTAGCGAGCGTTCTAAGGGTTTCCAATTAAGGGTTTCCAATTCACTACCGGTAGCGAGCGTTCTAAGGGTTCCCAATTCACTACCGGTAGCGAGCGTTCTAAGAGTTCCCAATTCACTACCGCTAGCGAGCGTTCTAAGGGTTCCCAATTCACTACCGGTAGCGAGCGTTCTAAGGGTTCCCAATTCACTATCGGTAGCGAGCGTTCTAAGAGTTCCCAATTCACGACCGGTAGCGAGCGTTCTAAGGGTTTCCATTCACTACCGGTAGCCAGCGCTCTAAGGATTCTCAATTCACTATCGGTAGCGCGTGTTTTAAGGGACCCAATTCACTACCGCTAGCGAGCGTTCTAAGATGTTCTAAGCGTTCTAAGGGTGCCCAATTCAGACCAGTAGTGAATGTTGGTGGAGTAACCGTGGTGTCCAAAGATGCAAATATACAGTACCACCTTTTCAACTATCATAAAGGCAGGACAGTAATGGATACTATATATATATATACGTATATACAGACATATGTATATAATACAGTATCTATATATTTACAAATTTGTACATAATATAATATATAATATATGTAATGTATACTATATATATACATACAACCAGCAAGCAAGCAAGCCAGCCAGCCACCATAAGTAAAGTTTTGAGCCAATCGTAGATAAATCTTCGAGCCAACCCTTCGGAAAAACTATAAACCAACTTTCAATAAAGCAAAGCAACCCTGAACTCTGAACCAACCCTTAAAAAAGTTCTAAACCAACTGCAACTCAAATCCAACCTTACTTATCCAAACCCTAAACGATTTTTAAACTGTAAACTAATTGGCACTAAACAGTAAATAAAGCTTTCTTTAAACCAATCTTTGACCAACCCTAAAGAAAATTCAAAATAAAAACAACACCAAAGCTTATATATTTTAAATCAAGCATAAATAAATGTTTGAACCAACTCTAAAGAAAAACCATGACCAACCTGAAATAGAAAGATAAACTGGCCCTTAGTAAAGCACCAACAATTTTGAACAACAACCTGAAACCACCTCAAATAAACTTTCATTAAACCTTGAACCAATCCTCAATAAACCACAAATCAACCCTAAATAGATCTCTAACCAGCCTCAAACAAATTCTAAACCAAACCGTAAACCAATTTAAAACATGAAGTGCACCGGCACTACACTGACCCTAAACCAACTTGAAATAGCCATTAAGTCAACTTTAGCAAAACCCTCAACAACCTCAAATAAATTTCCGAACTACATTCAATAAGATTTTAAACCAAAATTCCATAGTCGCCAAACCAGCTCTAATCAAACCTTCAACCACCCCCAAATCAATCCTAAACCAACCTTAAACCGATTATAAAGAACATGAATCCAGCCCCAAAGAAAACCTTAAAGCAAACTACCTATATGTATATATACATATATATATACAAAGATTTTGTTAAAAAAATCCTAAAACCTTCATGAGGGAAACTGCACGCGCACCTTAAAGTCAACCCCCAAGCCAACTTTAAATTTTCAACCAACCTCAAATAAACCTTGAAACGAATGCCAAATAAAAGGTTAACCCAACCCAAAACAAACCCAAATCCAAACCCAAAAGACACATGAATTTTCGACAAATTCCGAATCAAACCCTGAACCGATTTTAGATAAAACTTTGCACGCCAACCAGCAATAAACCACCGACCCAACCCTGAATCAACCCTAAACCAAACCGAAAAAAACAAATAAACACATCTCAAACCAAACGCTAAGCACGCCAGAAACAACACCCGAAAAAATGTTAAATTACTTCACTTCGAATGATCCCCACATGACATTTATACATTTTCTTACTGGCAAATCTTCTGGCATTCTATCTGACATATCTTCTGGCATTCTATCTGGCATTCTATCTGGCATATCTTCTGGCATATGTTCTGGCATACCTTCTGGCATTCTATCTGGCAAATCTTCTGGCATTCTATCTGGCATATCTTCTGGCATTCTATCTGACATAACTTCTGGCATTCTATCTGGCATTCTATCTGGCATATCTTCTGGCATATGTTCTGGCATACCTTCTGGCATTCTATCTGGCAAATCTTCTGGCATTCTACCTGGCATATCTTCTGGCTTCTATCTGACATTTTATCTGGCATATCTTCTGACATTTTATCTGGCATATCTTCTGACATTTTTTCTGGCATTCTTTCTGGCATATCTTCTGACATTCTATCTGACATATCTTCTGACATTCTTTCTGGCATATCTTCTGACATTCTGTCTGGCATATCTTCTGACATTCTTTCTGACATTCTTTCTGGCATTCTATCTGGCATATCTTCTGACATTCTATCTGACATCTTTTCTTCCCGTTGAGGTCCGGCAGTGCCCACTGCGATCTGGATGTCGCGGTTGAGGTCCGGCAGTGCCCACTGCGATCTGGAAGTCGCGGTTGAGGTCGGGCAGTGCCCACTGGGATCTGGAAGTCGCGGTTGAGGTCCAGCAGTGCCCACTGCGATCTGGAAGTCGCGGTTGAGGCCCACTGCAACCTGGAAGTCGCGGTTGGGGTCCGGCAGTGCCCACTGGGATCTGGAGCTCGCGGTGGAGGTCCGGCTGTGCCCACTGGGATCTGGACTGCGAGGAGGAGGACGAGGAGGAGATGGAGGAGGAGGCGGAGGAGGAAGAGAACAGCTCTGATAAAATCTAACAACCCTCACCTGGCAGGTGGGGAATAAACATTACGCCAACACTAAATACATCCAGAGTAAACTTTAAGCTAACACTAAGCCCGACCAAGTTGAGCCCTAAATCAATTTTAACTACAATTTCAAAGCGGCCTTGGAACACAACCCTAAACCAAATCTAAACAAAACCTTACACCAAAACTAAACCAACCCTGAACATATCTTAAAAGATAAGAAACATTCCAAAATGCCTTAACCCAAGCCGAAACAAATCCAACAGCAGCCCTAACACCATGCTCTTTGAACCAACCCTAAAACTAGGCGGACTCCTAGCTAAACCGCAAACTAACCCAAAACAACATATTGCACCAACGCTAATTTCACGGCAAACAAGCGCTACACAACCACCATTTATAAACCAACTTTAAACCGACCTGGAATAACTAACCCAACCCACGATACCGATACCTTTAACCAACCTCAAGCACACATCACAGCAGCCCCAACAACAATTCTAGCTGAACCAACCTCCGATTGCTGCTAGCTCAAAAAATGTCCGATTCCGGCAGAAATAAGAGTTTCTAGCTCCAAAATGCTTGACTTACCGTTAGTTTCGAACTCCGAAATGCTGCAATTACCGTAGAAGTGGATCCAAAATGTTGCAAATATTGTCGAAACGGCAGCTTCGAGGTTTAACATGCTGCAAACAGCCAGGGAATTGATGCAGTATTGAGGGGGAAACAAAATCCCCGGGAAGGGCGAAAAAAAATCCCTGGCGCAAACCGGGCCCGCTTCCTGAGTGCTCAAGTGTAGTGCCGCCTAAGGAACAGAATCTGAAGCAGATGAATGCCATATATGATGCCAACCCTCGTATTTTGGAAGATGTTCACAGAGCGGTGCAAGGAGGCAACTCGGCTACATTTCATGATGAGGAGGGATAGAAACAGGGTAACCATTTGTGATGCATATGCAGATTTCGATGCGGAGTATGATCTCGTTCTCAATGAAAATGAAGTGTTGTCAGGCGGTGCCTAACTTGCAAAATTTCGGCAGACAGGAAATGACTTTGACTTTACTAACAGGATTTGCATGGATTTGGTCATGGTGCAGAGAATGGCTCACTTATTCGGTTCCCTTACGTAACAAATCATATCAAATCATCATCACATTGGATATCCCATGATAAAACTATGCGATCCAGGCTCCGGGAGTGATTTCCTTTGAGCCGCATCCGCCTTTCAGCTGAAATTTGCCCTGCGATGCCAGTGTCAACTGGGTTGTAAGGGTAGGGAGGTCTGAAATGATGTATATAGCGTAGCAGTGATTTTGGGTCTAGGCCAGTCAGGCTGCCTGCATATGAGAGTTGCTTGTGAGCTCTACCATGAAGCGCAGAAATTTAAGCATGGCTAGTGATAGTGATTTGATTGAAGAAGCGCCTTGGCCTATGACCCAAGAAAGACAATGCCACAACTGCACGGGCTGCAGCTGTAGTCTTTACATATTTGCTCAGACACACAAGGGCTATAAGACTGCTCATGTTTGCTCAAGATGTCGGGAGTTGCTCTCCCTTCAGGATTTTGCCGTCAATTGCTTTAGCCAACGAATCTCTTCGCAATTCACTGGGGCAGATCCATTGAGAGAGCCAAGACTTGTCCCACGCTGTTCCGCGTCTCCGACCGCATCAAAGCTCGTGCGCTTGAGAGAATGGGGCCAGCGAAGAAAAGCTGCGGCCTTGGCAAAGAACTTGTTGGGGGCTGCAATCTGGGTAGGCCTGCAGTTTTGCCATCGGCCAGCGGTAGATCATGAAACCCTAGATGAAGGGGTGGACCGCTGTGAAAGACTGGCTTTGCAATGATTTGCACTTGCTATATGATGTTCGAGGGCCTCAAGCCTTGATTCTTTGGCTGCGAGTTGATCTCCGGAATAATTACCTTCCTGTTTGTTTTAGCAATGGAATGCATCTCGTTGAAATAAGACCTCGGAACTTTGGCATCTTTTGGCTCAAGCTGTTTTGTAGCCTCAGCAATCTTAGGAGTTCTCTTCCTAGCACTTTAGGTCAAGGACGGCTTCCATGACTACAGGCCATTGAAAAGTACAACAGCCTGTAGGCCACCTGTAGGCCACCTGTAGGCCGCCTGTTCCCAACTGCAGTTTGCAGTTGGCACATGTCGCTAAATTCTGCTCAGAGCAATACTTTTTGCTATGCAGCAAAAGCTGTAGTAGCTAGCTTACTGTGAGAATCTATAGCCCTTGGATGTGTCGAGTTGGGTGGTCAGCAAAAGGTCAGCACGCTGCTGCAGCTTCTAAGTTGTGGAATTGCCGGTGCCATCCTGCAGTACTGTCCTGTCAGGATAAGGCAGACTTGCCCGAACCACAAACCCTTGGCCCGTCGCTTTAGTATCACTTGCACCAGCACAGCTACAAGAAGTCGCTGCAAGATGTGTCAAGATGGTGCCTTTCTCAGGAAGACATGCAAGCAGACTTGCAGTGAACAGACATAAAACACCATAGAACCAAGAAATCACACCAGCTGCAGTCACTATGACACAGACCTGCCACGAGTCGCCTGTCGTTGGTCGCGCATTTGTTTTCGGGGTAGTAGCAGCCAGCGGCCATGCCCAGTGATGACGACGGCCTTGCCCCGACGGAGGGTCCGGGCTTCCAGTCAAGCTGGTATGCTTCTAGCAGATGAATCTGCCTTACCTTCAAACATGATCTGAACTCAGTTTACATCATTGCGCAGTATACTCATGCCAAATATATGACGTTGATAGACTTTGTATGCGCAAAATGGCTTTGAATGATCTTACTCCAATGCGAAGCCTTACCTCAGACTCAGACAATTCCCATACAAGTTTTGAGCTACAGAGTTCTGTCAGGTCCTGACTGGGAAAATGGTTTTAGCGATTCTCTTCGCAACTTTGAGGACGGAAAGGGATTTGGATTTACGACAAGGTTGCTGAGAAGAATGCAAGGTGATTTCTTGGGACATGTAAGTGCCCGTGCATTAGGCAGAACAAGCTGGTCGGATTTCCTCCTCCAGAACGCTTCAAGGCGTTGGACAGATTTCATGTTTCTTGAATCCATTTGGCCAGGAAGCTGTCACACTGTGGAGACGGCGAGAGGAGGCAGTTGATTGAAGTGTGCCTTCCTGCCTATCTGTACTCTTATCTATTTTGAACATGTTGAAAATGGTATTGATTCTCTTGCAGGGCTGACCTTTGCCATTTTAGGGGAAGGACAGCGCATAAGTTTTCTTTCTAACAGTCTAGGAAAGCCAGCGGTCTTTGCACTCTTCGTTTCCTTCAGAACAGTTGAAGCCATTAGAAGCTTGTGCATGTATTTCATCGTTATTAATTGTCATTGATGGTGATTGATAATTGATTGATAATTGATTGATTATTATTGATTGTTATTGATTGGTATTGCAGATATTCACAGTGGCCAGGGAATGCCAGGGATGTCCCCTTGGCACCAGGACCAGGACACTCGGCTCATTGAAACTGTCAGGCCACCTGCGAGGAGAAGATTGCAGGCTGAGAACTTAGCTTCATACATGGCTTGACGATGCTTTACAATTTTTGTCAGATCACATCATATGATAAATAAATATATATATATATAATAAATATAATATAAACGTGTGTATATACTATATATAATATATGAAGATCTATGTGCCACCCAAGTAGAACAGGAGAGTGACAGTGTCCTTTTAACGTGTTTTAATGTGTTTTGTGCAAAGGTCGGAATCTAAATCAACGCACAGTGGCAAGTTGTGACTTCACTGCAGAGGCTCGTGCTGTTTTGAGTTCTAGGGTAGAGCTCTGTTGTAAGGAGTGCAGTCGCTTCAGTCGCTTCGCATGATGTCCACTTGCAGTGAAATTGTATGTTGAGAGGTGCCCTAGTCGCTAGCTGGAATTTTATGGATGCAGACTTTTGATGTCGATATCAGCCCTAAGACAACAGATCAGTCGATTCACGAGGACTGCTTGAAAGCTCACTTTCCAGCTCGCGAAGATGATGAAAGCGTCAGTTGCTTAGAAATCTTAGAATCCTGCGATATCCGATATCCTGCGAGTCTGCGACCTTCCTTTCACTGAACTCTCTGTGGAATTGATGGCCCAGGATGCACCATTGCAGGCCTTGGTGAAAGCCGGGCTGCCTAGCAGCCTTGCATGTGAGATACGTTGAACTTGGAGATCTACTTTGGGACAGACATGGCTAGAGCATGCCTCTGCAACAACATAGCCTTTGCAACAAGAGGTATACAGTAGATTACAGTATATATATATGTATATCCAATTATATCCAAGTATGGTAATAGTATGATTTGATAAAATTTTTGTACTAACATGCAAACAAAAACAATATATATATATATTATATTATATAATTAGTTTCGTGATTCCATGTATTATATCATTATATAAATATATATATATATTATATAATCTCAATTTGGCCGATTTCACCAACGACTTTCGGGAAAGCATGTCATCAGGTCGCGAAGAGTCAACGCGAGGAGCTCCAAGAGGCCATCCCGATCCGACGCGATGGCATCGATGGGTGTAGGATGGTGCTGGGTGCTGCCCCCCAGTTATGTTTGTTGATTTATAACATGTTTATAATTCTTTATAACTATTATAACATATTATAACGTGATAATTGTTGGTAATTATTATTGATGATAGACTATAGAATCTACAGCTATATTATATCATGACACATATATATATATATATCTACTATCAACCATCGTGATTGGAGATATTTATGTTATTTTTACCAACTTAGTTAACTTCGGGGTACCACGGAATATGTTGGGGCCATGATGACCATCATTTGGGGCTATAAATCAATTGGATGTTCCTCGAAGTTCCGGGTGGAGTTTGTGACTCCTTGAGCTCAAGTTGCAATGATGGGCTTGAAGGAAACCAATAAAGTGTATGGCCCTCTGCAAAGAGCATAGATCACGAAGAGTCTTGAATTGTATGGACACAATGGACACAACGGTTTCTTCTTATCTTTCTTTTTATATTGCACATATATTGTGGTCACATAATATTATATATGACATATAAAGTCAACAAGATTCATCTTTGTGACAGACAAAGATCAGGACTCAGTTGTATTGTGAATTGTATTGTGAGTGAAGCTGTTGCCGACCATTCGGCCTCTGAAGGTCTTGGAACTGGTGCGAAACCACGCGGAGCGCTTCGAAGGCACAGGGATGGGCTGACCACCAGTGAGACCACCAGGTGAATGTGCAGTGTCAAGACTCTCTTGTGAATGGAAAAGAATGTGGCTGTCCACTTACTAAATTTACTGCGCGTCTTTCTTTCTTCTTGTTCGTCTTGTTCATTCTTGTTCCCAGATGTCGTTCTTGTCCTTACCGTTACGAAAGATGCCTCAAAAATCCTCAAAAGATATCAAGACATAGCAAAGGGAGATCTCAGTCGCGGCTGAGCCTAGCAGCTGCGCAATGCTTGCAACCCATCAGAACTACTTGCACCCAGTCGTTGCAAACAAGCTACAGGATTCCAAGACACAGCAAGTTCTTATAGTACCTTATAGTTTCTTCTAGATGAAGACACTAGCTGGTAGCTGTTGCTTCTCAATATTGGCACGTGCCACCTTACAAGGAGAATGTGAAAGAACAGCTTTTGGATGTATTCAGGCTATTCACATAGATGTGCATGGCGGCCACACACAAACAGATGTGAAGCATTGCTCCATTGCCAGAATTTACTCATTCCAACTTCTTTTTGGTGGCATCATTCTTCCACCTCACTAAGGGTCTTCTATTTTTTTCAACTCACGCAAACGCTAAAGTACTTGTACCTTGCTATTTTTTGCCATCGACCTTGCCCGTCAGCCTGGCATTGCAGAAACTGTTCAATTCTTTTTTGTTCCCTTCTTACCTCCAGCTCTTTTGCAAGGATACTATCACTCAATGATGTGACTTGCAACATATCCTTCTTTCACTGCCCATGTCCTGCGCTGTTGCTGTCGACAGTGCAACCTGAAAGTGGTTGAGGTCACTCGTCTCTGACGGCCCAATTGCCAGAGCAAGGTGCAGCTGTGAGCTACGACAACACAGAATACTGCACTTTTGGCAGAATCTGTCTTGAAGATACCTGTGCATGCACACAAGGACATGCCTCTGCATGTGATTTTGGAAATCTAGAAGCATTAAGCACTCTTAGTCTCTCTTAGTCGTGCTGCTAAGTATGACCTTTTCTTGGAACATCAGACCACCAATCCGCGGGAGGTAGTGCAAGCGCTCGCAAGAGTGGAGCAGATGTGGCTCAGCTTATGCAACACCCACCAGTAGCTTCACTCACTCAGCCTACTATTGTGCAGTGTCGAACAGGATATCACTTCCAGCGGATTCTGAACCTCTCAAGATGAATTGAGCAGGTGGTCCCATCACTAGCCTAGTATAGCCTAGTCTTGCGCCCAAACCGGAACTATTCATGTTCAATGCTCTTGACTTCCTGTTGGCATGTAAAATATGTCTTCCAAATGTGATGTAATTACCATGCAATGCCCATAATATAGCAATGACATATAGCAATGACAATTGGTGTGAGTACATACAAGGATCTGTAGAGCAGGATAATATGTACCGGTGACATGTATGAACTACTATAATCAAACTATTTCGCCTGCGCGCATTCCATACACTTTTGAGGTTGTAGCTTTGCTGGCAGAGCTGCTGGATGTTGCGTTTCCGCCTCAAGAAGTTGGACAAAGCTTAGCAATTCTGTCATGCCGAACGATTAGGCAACAGGCCATGTGCCAAGGTACAATGAATAGTCAAAGTGCACTGAAAGTGAATGAAAGTGATGAGCATGCTATTTCTTTGCAGAAGTTCAGAAGACAGGGTTGTTTCGGACAATGGACTGCCACCAGCACAGTTTGCCAGAAACACGGGTACTCTTTTTTCTTTGGCGTGGCCTAGACAACCTATGCAAAGCTCTCGAATTTGAAATTCGGAACCAGTCTCCATCAGCATATCGACACTATTATATATATACTGTATATGATATTATAAATAAACTATTATAATCTATTATAATCTACTATACTATTTATATCTATACTTTGTTGAGAATTGGAGGGCTTGATCTGGTGAGGTCTCGCAATTTCAGCAAGCAGAGAGGAAAGGAGGACCTCACTCGCCTCACTGCGCCAAGTAGTGTTGTTGACTCGGTAGTGAGCACAGAGGGTGACAGAAGCTTCGACTACCGGCAGTGGGTCTTACGTTTCCTCAGGATGACCGGCGTGAAGAACGGAATGGACGAGGCAAGGGTGGGAAGTGGTGATTTGACCTGACCACCCATGGGCATGGGGCTTTAGTGAATCGAGGTTCAGATGCAAGGAAGGCCGCAAGCAAATCTTTATGGTTGCTGGAAGTGAATCCTTCACGTGAGAAAAGACATCAAAAGTCCATGCAGAAACGCTTACTTGAGAGGTCTTGCGACATCGACAAAGCAAAAACCATGTAAAGCGATATAGCAAACCACATATCGCGATAACATACAATAACAATTGCGTTGTGTCGTCTTTGTGACCCTTAGTTTTGGTCTTTTCTCATGTCGGTTGATGCTTGAAGTTCTCCAGTTGAGCCATCGGCAATCCGACCTGGTCTTGTAGGACGTGACGAGCACCGTCTCCGAGAACGGCGTGAAGTGCGGAAGGATGGCAGCCTGGAGATCAGAAGTTATGGTTGTCATGCCTGTCATGGCTGATGCAGTCTGAAGTCTTCGTTCGATTTTGATTCATTACCAGGTTCTAGATTCTTCGTGTGCACATGATTTACTTTTGGGACAGTCCGATGATTTTGCAAATTGATGAGTCTACAATAGTCTACAATGCAATATGATTTATGAATATGTGAGAGACCTCGTGAACAGACCGAGTTTGTCAAGTGATCAAGAGTGCAAAGACAATCAAAGATATGCAAGGTATTTGTTGTTTTCTATCATATATTCGTCGATATTTGTTGGATCTTTTGGATGTCTGATGTTTCATGATGTTTCCATACAATGAGATCTGCATCGCAGGATGACTACCGCCGAGATGACCGGCGTCGTGAGGAAGATGAGCGTTACGAGGATGATCGACGTAGAGCGCTCGATGGCGCAGGCGAAGACCAACAAAAACAGCAGAAAGGAAGGGCTACGTAGAACAATACATAAAAAAAAACATAAAACTTGTTGAGCTGTTGATGCTCTAAAATTTGATGATGTTTGTTTTTGAATGATTTTTGGATGATCAACTGTGTTATTTTGGGACTTGAACATCATCTTCGCTTCGAAACCTTGCTTTCAAAATTTCGCCTTTTTCAATGTTTCTTTTGCACCTGGACCTATGGGTCTTCAAGGCCGCGATGATGGACGTCGTGATCGTGACCGCGGCAAGGCACGGAGTGAAGCGATTGTATGGGATGCAAATTGGTTTCCTGTTTTGGAACAAGTCTTACTAGTACACATTATATATATATATATAATTTTATATACATAGATACATGAATAAATGAATATATATATATATATATATGTATAAATGAATAGTCTATGTAGGCAAGTGGCGCCAGGCATCCAACAAAAAAGGTGCATCCGCCATGCGTCGCTGATGTCTTGATGAATGAAAGGTATCACCAGCGGGTATCGCAGTGTACAAAAATGTTCTTGCAGCTTCCTGCAGTCCAACTCTTCAAGAATCTGGACATGTTTCTTCCGGTTTCCAGGATGACTATGATCATCGACGTGATGAGCGCCGTCATGATGACCGGTATGAGGATGATCGTCGCGGACGTGAAGGAGGATAGCACTGGGGATCATTGGGGACGGGAACGAGAAAAGGTCTAAATCAAATGGTTGTTCTTTCGATACAGGTTCAGACTCCAAAATTTGTGTTTTTTGTATGCGGATGTGTTTGGGAGGTGCCCAGCGTAAGTTGGCATCCATCCACTCTCTTTCACTTGTTATCACGGTGTGGTGGCATCTTGGAGCATGATGTAAATCGCAGAAACATGTCCTTTGCCTACTGAACTGTTATCCACATCATATTCACATTATCAAGCCAATGCAAGAACAACACAAGTGTGTCTTCAACAGTAGTTTTGACCAGAAAGTGGAATATCATGGAATATCAATGTATTTATGATATTTTGATATATTTTGATATATGTTGGTGGAATATATGGCTATATATATATATGGCATATATATATATATGGCATATATATATAGATATGGCTTAATTCCACCAAAGATATATTCCAGTGCTACAGAAACGCCACCAGGCCGTGATGACGGGCGTCATTATCGGGCCAAGGTGCGATGGATGGATGGAAAAAGGTTTTTTTTTGCTGTGACCGCCATATAGTTCAATTTATATATTTCAAGTAGATGGTTGATGATTGATGATGGTTGATGATGGATGGTTGATGATGGATGGTTGATGATGGATGGTTGATGATTGATGGTTGATGATTGATGGTTGACGATTGATGATGGTTGATGATTGATGGTTGATGATGGTTGATGATTGATGATGGTTGATGATTGATGGTTGATGATGGTTGATGGTTGATGATTGATGGTTGATGATTGATGGTTGACGATTGATGGTTGACGATTGATGGTTGACGATTGATGATGGTTGATGATGGATGGTTGATGATGGTTGATGATTGATGGTTGATGATTGATGGTTGACGATTGATGATGGTTGATGATTGATGATTGTTGACGATTGATGATGGTTGGTGATTGATGATGTATGATGATTGATGATGGTTGATGATTGATGATTGTTGACGATTGATGATGGTTGATGATTGATGATTGTTGACGACTGATGATGGTTGATGCTTGATGAATGTTGACGATTGATGATGGTTGATGATTGATGATTGTTGACGATTGATGATGGTTGATGATTGATGATTGTTGACGATTGATGATGGTTGATGCTTGATGGTTGATGATGGATGGTTGATGATTGATGGTTGACGATTGATGATGGTTGATGATGATGGTTGATGATTCATGATTGATGATGGTGGATGATGGTTGATGGTTGATGATGGTTGATGAAGGTTGATGATTGATGATGGTTGATGATTGATGGTTGGTGATGGTTGATGATGGTTGATGATTGATGATGGTTGATGATCGATTATGGTTGATGATTGATGGTTGATGATGGTTGATGATGGTTGATGATGGATGGTTGATGATGGATTGTTGATGATTGACGATTGATGATGGTTGATGATTGATGATGGTTGATGATTGATGGTGGATGATTGATGATGGTTGATGATTGATGGTTGATGATGGATGGTTGATGATTGTTGACGATTGATGATGGTTGATGATTGATGGTTGATGATGGATGGTTGATGATGGATGGTTGATGATTGATGGTTGGCGATTGATGATGGTTGATGATGGATGGTTGATGATTGATGGTTGATGATTGATGGTTGACGATTGATGATGGTTGATGACTGATGGTGGTTGATGATTGATGGTTGATGATGGATGGTTGATGATTGTTGACGATTGATGATGGTTGATGCTTGATGGTTGATGATGGATGGTTGATGATTGATGGTTGACGATTGATGATGGTTGATCATTGATGGTTGATGATGAATGGTTGATGATTGATGGTTGACGATTGATGATGTATGATGATTGATGGTGGTTGATGATTGATGGTTGATGATGGATGGTTGATGATTGATGGTGGATGATTGATGATGGTTGATGATGGTTGATGATGGATGGTTGATGATTGTTGACGATTGATGATGGTTGATGATTGATGGTTGATGATGGATGGTTGATGATTGATGGTTGACGATTGATGGTGGTTGATGATTGATGGTTGATTATGGATGGTTTATGATTGATGGTTGACGATTGATGATGGTTGATGATTGATGATGGTTGATGGTTGATGGTTGGTGATGGTTGATGGTTGATGGTTGATGATGGATGGTTGATGATTGTTGACGATTGATGATGGTTGATCATTGATGGTTGATGATGAATGGTTGATGATTGATGGTTGACGATTGATGATGTATGATGATTGATGGTGGTTGATGATTGATGGTTGATGATGGATGGTTGATGATTGATGGTGGATGATTGATGATGGTTGATGATGGTTGATGATGGATGGTTGATGATTGTTGACGATTGATGATGGTTGATGATTGATGGTTGATGATGGATGGTTGATGATTGATGGTTGACGATTGATGGTGGTTGATGATTGATGGTTGATTATGGATGGTTTATGATTGATGGTTGACGATTGATGATGGTTGATGATTGATGATGGTTGATGGTTGATGGTTGGTGATGGTTGATGGTTGATGATTGATGATGGATGGTTGATGATTGATGGTTGACGATTGATGATGGTTGATGATTGATGATGGTTGATGGTTGATGGTTGGTGATGGTTGATGGTTGATGATTGATGATGGATGGTTGATGATTGATGGTTGACGATTGATGATGGTGGATGATGGTTGACGATTGATGGTTGATGATTGTTGACGATTGATGATGGTTGATGATTGGTGTTTGATGACGGATGGTTGATGATTGATGGTGGATGATTGATGATGGTGGATGATGTTTGATGATTGATGGTGGATGATTGATGATGATGGTTGATGATTGATGGTTGATGATGGATGGTTGATGATTGATGGTTGATGATTGATGGTTGATGATTGATGATGGTTGATGATTGATGGCTGATGATGGATGGTTGATGATTGATGGTTGATGATGGATGGTTGATGATGGTTGATGATTGATGATGGTTGATGATTGATGGTTGATGATTGATGATGGTTGATGATGGATGGTTGATGGTTGGTGATTGATGATGGTTGATGATTGATGGTTGATGATTGATGATGGTTGATGATTGATGGTTGATGATGGATGGTTGATGATTGATGGTGGATGATTGATGATGGTGGATGATGTTTGATGATTGATGGTTGATGATTGTTGACGATTGATGATGGTTGATGATTGATGGTTGATGATGAATGGTTGGTGATTGATGGTTGACGATTGATGATGGTTGATGATTGATGGTTGACGATTGATGACGGTTGATGATTGATGGTTGATGATGGATGGTTGATGATGGATGGTTGATGATTGATGGCTGATGAATGATTGGTTGACGATTGATGATGGTTGATGATTGATGATTGTTGACGATTGATGATGGTTGATGATTGATGATGGTTGATGATTGATGATTGTTGACGATTGATGATGGTTGACGTTTGATGATGGTTGATGATTGATGGTTGATGATGGATGGTTGATGATGGATGGTTGATGATTGATGATTGCTGACGATCGATGATGGTTGATGATTGATGGTTGATGATGAATGGTTGATGATTGATGATTGTTGACGATTGATGATGGTTGATGATTGATGGTTGATGATGGATGGTTGATGATGGATGGTTGATGATTGATGGTTGACGATCGATGATGGTTGATGATTGATGTTGGTTGATGATTGATGGTGGATGATTGATGATGGATGGTTGATGATGGATGGTTGATGATTGATGGTTGATGATTGATGATTGTTGATGATTGATGATTGTTGACGATTGATGATGGTTGACGATTGATGATTGTTGACGTTTGATGATGGTTGATGATTGATGGTTGATGATGGATGGTTGATGATGGATGGTTGGTGATTGATGGTTGACGATTGATGATGGTTGGTGATTGATGATTTCTGACGATTGATGATGGTTGGTGATTGATGATTGTTGACGACTGATGATGGTTGATGCTTGATGATTGTTGACGATTGATGATGGTTGATGCTTGATGATTGTTGACGATTGATGATGGTTGATGATTGATGATTGTTGACGATTGATGATGATTGATGATTGATGATTGTTGACGATTGATGATGGTTGATGATTGATGATTGTTGACGATTCATGATGGTTGATGATTGATGATTGTTGACGATTGATGATGGTTGATGATTGATGATTGTTGACGATTGCTGATGGTTGACGATTGGTGATTGTTGACGATTGCTGATGGTTGACGATTGGTGATTGTTGACGCTTGATGATGGTTGATGATTGATGATTGTTGACGATTGATGGTTGATGATGATTGATGATTGTTGACGATTGATGATGGTTGATGATTGATGATTGTTGACGATTGATGATGGTTGATGATTGATGATTGTTGACGATTGATGATGGTTGATGATTGATGATTGTTGACGGTTGATGATGGTTGACGATTGATGGTTGATGATGAATGGTTGGTGATTGATGGTTGATGATTGATGGTTGATGATGGATGGTTGATGATTGATGGTTGACGATTGATGATGGTTGATGATTGATGTTGGTTGATGATTGATGGTGGATGATTGATGATGGATGGTTGATGATGGATGGTTGATGATTGATGGTTGATGATTGATGATGGTTGATGATTGATGGATGGTTGATGATGGATGGTTGGTGATTGATGGTTGACGATTGATGGTGGTTGATGATTGATGATGGTTGATGATTGATGTTTGATGATGGTTGATGATGGTTGACGATTGATGATGGTTGATGATTGATGGTTGACGATTGATGATGGTTGATGATGATTGATGGTTGATGATGGTTGATGAAGGTTGATGATTGATGATGGTTGATGATTGATGGTTGGTGATGGTTGATGATGGTTGATGATTGATGATGGTTGATGATCGATTATGGTTGACGATTGATGGTTGATGATGGTTGATGATGGTTGATAATTGATGATGGGTGATGATTGATTGTTGATGATGGTTGATGATGGTTCATGATTGCTGGTTGATGATTGATGGTTGATGATGGTTGACGATGGTTGATGATTGATGATGGTTGATGATTGATGGTTGGTGATGGTTGGTGATGGTTGATGATTGATGATGGTTGATGATTGATTATGGTTGATGATTGATGGTTGATGATGGTTGATGATGGGTGATGATTGATTGTTGATGATGGTTGATGATGGTTGATGATTGCTGGTTGATGATTGATGGTTGATGATTGATGATGGCTGATGATTGATGATGGTTGATGATTGATGGTTGATGATGGTTGATGGCTTTTGTTTAACTGGTGGTTCCACTCCTGCAACCCCTGCAAGAACTTATGCGGACAGATCTCAGATGCCGATGGCCGAGTTCCATTCCCAGGATGACTATCGCCGCGACGATCGCCGAGACGATCGTTACGATGATCGGCGACCCCCAGGTTGCAATAGAAGGGGTTCAAACTGTGAGTGGAAGTTGCAACAACCTAGTGTTTTTGTTTTTTAGTTTATTTTTATTTTTGAATCTAAATTGGTCATTTGAACCAAGATGACGTGTTGTAAATCGTGTTGGTACTGTATGTAGCCCTGACTTGAAAATGACAAGCTGTAGAAGATATAATTTTTACAGTAGCGTCCCAAGCTGGACGTCGATCATCTTTGCCAGGTCCGCGACGTGAGGACACCAACGCCTGGGGCAGTGGAGATGAAATTGGTACCCAGGGTGGTCCGAAGTTGCTCCAAATTTTTGCTCCAGACATCAAAACTTCACCTACCTGTCCCAGTTTGGTCAAGCTCTGCTGAACAGTTTTTTTGTAAACTTTCAAGCTGAACAATAGCAGGAACGGCCAAGATCTCGCAGCAGAGGTGATGCAGCCTGGATCTCAGAGAGAGCCTTTTCGAGTCACCACCAGTGTGTTTAGAAAGGGGTATTCCAAAATCCTGTGGTTAATCAATATAACCGACCTAGGCTGCGTGATCATCGGAAGCAAAATCCGTTGACCAGGTGCCAGAGGGTTTAAATAGAGACCTTTCTTGATATTTGGCAGGCGATTTTTTGCTCGATATTCTTTGTATTTCTTTACGAATCTGTGCAAGGCATAATAATTATGTAAAATATATCTTGATCATGAAATTGATGGCGAATATCAAAATATCAAAATAAGATAAAATAAGATTAGTAATATATATAATATAATATATATTAATATTATTATTAAAATTATCGAATATAATAATAATAATAAATATATATATAATAATTAATATATTTATTTTTTTATAATTAATAATATTAATATTATATATATAAAATATATATT